CTGTGCGGGGGCCGCGAGTCCGCGCGGACACCCCTCGGTCCTGCTCGGGACCTGTCGCCAGCTTCCTGTGCGGGGTGGCGTCTCCACCCCCCCCCCCAGTTTTGCACTGGCAGGATTTGGGGAAAACCCGGGGCTCCCGGGGCAGGAGCCGGCGCACCCTCTTCCGTTGCGGCTTCTGCTCTGCTTGCGACTTTATTCCGCGGAGCCTTTGCACCCGGTGGATTTTGTTGCAAGTCTACCGGCTGCGCGCCGCTGGAATTCGTTACCTGGGCTCGGGAAAAGTTGCTTTAACGCCTGGCACCGTTGTGGATTCGCGTGGTGCAACGCAAGCTGAAACGGCCCCTCGGTGGACACAGCGCAGGACCCTTTGCGAAAGATTGTAAAGCAGTATCAGGAGTCTCGTTGCTGTCCCTCTCGGAGGGGGAGAGTCCACCGAGGGCCTCTTGAGCGCTCGGGACAGGTCTGATGGTGTCGAGGTGAAGCCGATAAAAAGCATTTAAGGCACTGTGGGTTAAGTATAGAAACCAACTTTTATGGATGTTCAGAAACAGCCTCACGTGAAGACTGTTGAGAGGAAAGAGGGGTTCCTAAGCCCCGAGGTGGTTCGAGGCTGCCCAGGGCGCCCAGTGGAGCCCGCTCTCAGGACCAGCTATTTGAAACGCACTCCGTCCAGTCCTTTCCCTCCCTCCATCTTGAAAAAGTGAAAAAAAATGCCTGGTTCAGTGCATGTTTAAATGCCAGGAGAGTCTAGGACAGCGGCCTCAGCCGGGTTGCGGGTCCTAATCACACTGAGAGCTGTTCAGAGATCCTGAGCCCCCAGGTGAGCGTCTTGAGGGTGGGACCTGGCACCCAGTGTAACGCTGAGTTTCCCAGGTGAGTCTGGTGTGCCAGGGTGGGGCCAGGGGGGAGAGCCACTTGCCCGGAGAGAGGGAATAGTAGCCAGTTGAACTGCCCGCACCTGGAATTGTGAGTTAGCAGGACTGTTAGTACCTTTTTTTTTTTTTTTTTTTGCTTTTGCAGTTTAGCTATTCTGACATCCCTTAATTATAGAAAAGAAAAACACCACAGGGAGATGTTTTACTTTCTCAAAATCGAAAAGGGAAATTGAGTGTGGAGTAGTGGACTGTGAGGTCTTCACCCAGGTTAGCCTGGGCGAGGTGCTCCTGAGATCACCTGAAACTGCTAGAGGAATTTTGGGCATGTGTACATTTTCTGGGCACTAGTGGCTTTCATCATTTTCCAAAGGGTTGTGACTCAGTCTTACAAAATAGTTAAGAATCACACATTTATTTTGTTAAGTACGAGACTAACAAGCCTTACTCAAACTTTGAAGAAGTCAGCCACTGACCCTGTGTGTCATTACCTGGTAATTGAGAGCATCAGAGCACATTTTGAAAATACAGTGCTATATTTAAAAGCCACAAGTCAAATGAGATTCTTTGCAGTGGATTGCCCCTCTTGCAGGAACTAAAAAACTGTTTGCAACTTGAGGTGCAGTAAGGTGAAATTTTCACTGATTCTGAACTAATTAGCGGTAGTTAATGAGATTGTTGTAGATAGTCATCAAAAATAATAACAGTCTGATTTTCTGAATTGCAGATCAAATACTAAGGTGACTTAGGAAAAACAAGCAAAACAAAAATAGGAATTCTACATCCTGATACCTCATTGATAGCACTAACCAGTGGGAATCACTGCTGTAAGTTCTTTGGGAACTAAAATGGAAAAATAAGTATTTTATGATGACCACATAGTCCTCTAAGGACAATTTGTTTCTATTCACTTATTACCTCAAGTTTTCTTTCACCGTTTTTTGGTTGTAGAGACCAGGGATAGGCAACCCAGACAACCGGCCGTAAAACTATACAAGATGAGAAGTATTTTATACTCAAACTAAAAAAGTACAACTATGTTATTTTGATGTATTTTAAATTTTGACTTAGAGTGCCAGTAAAGAAGTCAAACTTTTCAAGTCTGATACATTTTAGAAACTGATTATTGGATTGACATGTGCTGAACATGGAGGCCATTTCAAATTTTGGTATTTAGTTCCTAAATTTAAGTTTTGTGGATTTCCTTTTATACGAGGTTTTATGAAAAGGCTTCTTACCTCTGTGTCCAGTAACAGTCTGTTGAGGGCTGAAAGGCAGGGCTGTTTTGCTTTCTCATTGGGCTCATAGGCCTGGCTTAGATAGGTCAAATTCATAGCAGCAGTTAGTAATAGATGGTCACGAAGCCCAGGTCAGGCCATGCGTCTGAGCTTGATTTTCCTAGTCTGAAACCGTAGTTATTTCTGAATTTGTTTTTCTGGTAACAATATGTTTTACAGTCTTTTTGCTAACCCATCTTCCAACTTAAAGTTTTAGTGGAAATCTGCATTGGGTGACGCCTTTCTCCAGCTTGCTGCGGTTCGCAGTGGGCCTCCAAGCCTCCACACTTCCTGTGCTAACTGTGCTGATGAGCGCGGGTCTGCTGTCAGGCGGCCTGGGAATAGCCTGTGTGGGCAGTGCAGGCTGTCCCTCTTCTCTCAGAGTTTGTGGTGGGTGCACACTTGGCTGACAGCACGGGAGGAGCATCGCTAGCCTGCATGGAGGTGCCAGACGGCCGTCAAGTGCCTTGACTCCTGAGAGGAGAGCCCTGGTGGTGGCGTGGGAGGGCTGTGGTTCATGCAGGTTACCAGGCTTATTCGTAAGTCAGTTATAAAAAATTGGAGTGGTGGAGGCCTCCTGGCTTACCCACGTTTTTCAGATAAGGGTAAAAATGTGCTATCTACTTTTATTATTTCATGAAGAAGGATGTTTTATGACCAAGGTCCTAAGAAGGAAGTCAGTTCAGAGTAATTAACATTTTTTTTAATTGAATGCATGTAGCTTTAAGAAGAATTCCTTTAGTTTTTCATTTTTTCATACCTGTTGATGGCTCTTACTGCCTGGCAGGGGCCGATTGCCTCACTGGAGGGCATGTGGAGTTGACAGCTAGGAGAGGAAGGAAAGGAATTGAATGAGTTCTTCCTACATGATCGTGCCATTTGTCTTAATCATCACAAGAGCCCTAGGAGACAACCATTATCCCCCATTTAAAGATGAGGAAATAAACTTAGTGGTTAGGAAACTAACCCAACTCACTCAACTGGTAATTAGTGGAGCCTGGATTTTAATGTTTGGATTTTCTTCTCTTCTGAAGTTGTATTTTGCCTTAACTTGCTGGGTCTGCTCCTTATTACTGGGTGGATTTTATGCAAAACAGCTCACCTGTGGGGTGTAGTTTTTCTACCTGTGAAGTGAGTTTGACCAGATAGTTACTAAGGTTTTTTCACTGTCATTCTTTCTTGATTTAGTAGAAGCATATCTGAATAGACAAAAAGTAAAAATAGTTTGAGGCAGTACGTTTGAGGTTTTGCCACATTTCTGTTGGGGAAGAGGATGTCCTGAAGAGTCTCCACACACTCAGGATTGCACATCCCAGAAAACCATCACCAGAGGGAGGTCTGCTGGGAGCCGAGGGTGCAGTTAAGCAGCCAGGCTGGGGTCTGCCCAGAGAACGTGGCCTGGGGGTCCCTGGCCTTTCTCCGGCCTTTAACTTGCTGTTGGGTCAGCGGAACTGGTAGGACACGTTCACTGATTTCTCTTTCTCCCTGGGTTATTCCTCTCTCCACTTCCCCTTTTTGTAAATAAACCCTTTATTAACCTTTTTTGGTGTGTGCCTGCAGTTGCATCTCATTATATGTCCCTTTTAAGTACGAGGGTGAGGACCCATTTCATAGTGGGGTTGTTCTGTAACAGTTTTTTCATTTGTTTTGAGAATATCTGGTCTTTAAGATGGTTAAACGAGACGGTACGCTTTTAGGTTGTAGACTGAGACAGTTACACATTTTCTCAAATACCGGAGGCACCTCGTTGCTGTTGGTAGGTGTGTTCACTCTGATCCTGTTCAGTGCAGGCTGCTCTTAGTCTGCTAGGTGTCAGGTAGGAGCTCAGGGCCTTCTGTAGCTCGGTGTTTTGCAACATGTTCTGTCACCCTCTAGGTGGGTCATGACGTCAACTGTATAGATCAGAAAGAACATTAAAAAAAAAACCACAAAAAGTACATGCAGGTTAAAGAGGGAACTACTGTTTGCCAAAATTTGTTCTGAAGGGTTTGTGTTATCTAGGATTTGTGTCTAGATTGCCTTGTCTTATGCCAAACATCTTGATTGAAAATGGTTGGAAAACACTTCTTGGAGCAGCGTTTCCCCCAGAGCACCTGGGCCAGATCCTTCTTCCTTGTGGGGCTGCCTGGTGCTTCCTTGGCGCCGAGCCTGCCCCTGGCTTCCCACTAGATGGCGGTAGCACTTGCCGGGCTCCGCCTGCCCCTCTGGTGAGAATGGCCCCGAGACCAAGCTTTCTGCCAGTCCCCCTGCTGGCTTGGGAAAGCTGTTTTCTGGTTGCACTCCTCTTGGATCTTATGGCGGGAGCATAGGCTTTAAAGTGGAAGGGACGTTGTGGGCTGTTACCTGGTTTTGGTTAAGTGATTTTCTCAGAACCTCAAGTTTTATAAGTTACAAATATATAAAACGTATACAGTCAGCAGCGATTGCTGTAAGAATTAAATAATTTATAAAAATACTGAGTATAGTACCTGGAATAGCTAAGCCTGGGCATATTCCAGATCCTACTAGTGTCTGGGATTTATGCAAGAACTAAGGTGTAGGCCAGAAGTACAGGGGGTGAGAGGATTCCCCAGAGACAGAGCGGGGAGCAGAACAGGCAGACCTACTGAAATCCACTGCTAAGGGAACAGCAGGGAGACAGGAGAGGTCTGCAGAGCCATGTGGGTCACCTCCCTGGTAGGGCTTGAATTCATGATGCAGTGACTTTTGATAGCTTGATAGCATTAAGACCTTAACCCTAGTGCTACCGGGTGGGCCCAAAGACTACCACTTTATGACCTGTGAAGATTTTATATAATCAAACCCTGTGTTCATAAATACAGTTTTATTGAAGTATATCCATATTTATTCATATGACTACGTTTGTGTTGCAACAGCTGACTTAAATAGTTGCTTTAGACAGTATGCCCAGCAAAACTTGAAGTGTTTGTTGTCTGGTCTTATGCAGAACTCTTGTACTAGGTAATTTGCTTATTTATTGTGGTTAATGTTCACATCTTATTTCCCTTCACTAGAATGTAAGTTCCATAAACACAGAGGTGTTTGTTTACTGATACATTCCAAGTGCTTGTTATAACTGTTATTAAACATTTGAATAAAAAATTAATGAGTATAAAAATAATGTTTAATTTTCAAAATGATGTTACCTAACATTTATTAAGTACCAATTCATTTGAATTTCACAGCAGCCATGGGAAGTACAGATGCTCTTATTATTCCCATTTGACATCAAAGAGAAATTAAGATATTGAGGGAGAAAAGTAACTCCCCCAGGACTACATAGCTAAGTAAATGGTAGAACTGAGATCCTATCCTAGCGAATCTGACTCTGTTAGACCTAACCTATATAGCTTTTTACAGAAGATACTTAGTTAATTCTGTTATGTACAGTGGAATTCTTGCTTTAGGAACTGGGCATTTCTGATACTTTGTCACAGTTCCTGCTGAGAACTGGCAATCAGGAATGCTTGGAATGCTCCATTTAGACTGAACCAGAGATCAGCTTTACAAAGTAGGTCTGGGGAGGGAGGACCTTCTACCACCTTCTACCTGTCTGTTGTTTTTGAACCTAACTGGATTCCTCCCCTTCAAGTGATGTAATGGAAAGTGGACTTAATATCGCACTGGAAGTAATGGGTTTGAATATTACTTTGAATAAAAATTGGATTTGCCATTAAATGTAAAAGGTAGAATTATACCCGATAGTCGTTTTCTCTGCTTGAGTAGTAGAATTAGAAATGACCACGTGTCATTTCCTTCTGTTGTCGGGGTTTGTGTTTTCCCCCCAGTGCCTTTGCTCATAGCTGGCACTCCAGCTTTGTCGGTGGCAGCAGCTCTTCCCTAGGAAAGTACTATTTCTGTTACAAGTTGCTAAGCATTTAGTTACTGTAAAGTAGCTCAATACTTTATAATTATTTCCTGATGGCTCAGACTCATTAAAGTTTAAACCAGCTATTTAGTATTTTTGAGTTTCTTACTTTGTAAAGGAAGCATAAACAGTGTATATAACATTTTGAACAAAGAAAAAAGTAGTTATCACATTTTCCTAACATGGCTACTTAATATTTACATATAACTCTGGATTATTTGTGTTAAGTATGTATACATTATGTAAACATACCTATGAGAGAGAACGAGAGAGATGGGATGGTAGATTCAGAGAGATGGGATGGTAGATTCAGAGAGATGGGATGGTAGATTCAGAGAGATGGGATGGTAGATTCAGAGAGATGGGATGGTAGATTCGAGAGTGTCTGCTCTGATCTCTTTATTTACTTCTTTATTTTAAAAGATTATTTATGCACACAAGATTATTAGGACAGAGGTGTGGAGGGTAAGAGGATACACCAGAGATAAAGGGGGTTGCAGAACAGGCAGACTGACTGAAACACACTGCTGAGGGAGCAGCTGGCTGGTCAGGAGAGGACTGCTGTGCCATGTGGGTCACTCCCTGGCTGGGGATCAAACTCCTGTTGCAGTACTGCAAAGCTTGATAGCACTGTGTCTTTAACTCCTGTTCCACTAGGGAAGTCCCAGATCTCCTCTTTAGACTAAGTGGTTTATATGTGCATGCATTGCTTATTTATAACCCCAGGCCCTTCAAGACATCTTCCTGGCCAGTACTCTATTATACCATTATAACTTGTTAATTTATGAATTCCTTTTAGTTGTACTTTAAGGTAGTCAAGTGTTAAGGGAGGTACTTTTTTATGTACAAAACTAAAGAGGAATGTGTTTAAATATTTCTTACTGGCTTGTGTTCACATGTATTTATCTTTTTTTTTTTTTTAATTCAGCTTTCTAAAACCAACTTTTCCAACAACAACGATTTCCGGGCTCTTCTGCAGTCTCTGTATGCTACTTTTAAGGAGTTCAAAATGCACGAGCAGATTGAAAATGAATACATTATTGGTTTGCTTCAGCAACGCAGCCAGACCATTTATAATGTACATTCTGATAATAAACTCTCCGAGATGCTTAGCCTCTTTGAAAAAGGACTGAAGAATGTTAAGGTGAGTTACAAAATTGCATATTTTATCACCACAGATTGTACCATCATCTGGCATATCACTGACCAGACTTGCTAGCATTTTATAGTAATGTTATGTTAAGGAAAAAAGTATTCTGATGCGTGTTAACATTAGTAAGGGAGACTTCATTAAAGAAAGACTGCTGTGATGGAGCCTCGCATAGGGAAGAGAAACTCAGCTCAACCCTGAACACAGTAAGGAAAAGTGGGCATTCATAGCTGAGGAAGGGAGGGGGCCAGGGAGATGCTGAGAGGAACAGCAGGTAGGGAGAGCCTTGCTGAGCAGGCTCTGATGCAGTATGGAGGGTGGAAAGAAATAGAGAATGATGCGATGCCACGCGTGAGAGATTCTGGCTAATCTGACTCAGCAGACTTTTTGCTAAAACTGAGCTAACAGGGCCAAGGACGGCCCAGGATGGTGCTCAAGGGCAGAGCATAGTTGCGGACTCGGGTCTGAGGGTCTGAGGCCGGCTCCTCACTACTGCGAGCACGATTCGCCACGAGGGCTGCTCCCGTGCCGCCAGTGTTGAGATTGTAATGACCATAAGGCGGTTACTGTCGACCGTTTTCAGAAAGCTGTCACAAATGCAGTTGCTGGTGACTAAAGGTAAATTGTTCCTTGCAGTGAACAAACAATTTCATAAATTTTACTGACTTTAAAGTTGAGTGCTGACTGTAATGTTTGTTACAGACTTGTCCTTTCCCTATGTTAGGGAATACGGTCTGTTAAATAGAATCACTTTAAAGAGATAGCTTTGCGTAGTTGAAGACAATGCTGTAGCGATATTTTCTTAATTATATATTACAGGATAAAAGACTCAACAGGAGGTCTTTTATATAAATGACTGTAGTAGTTTCTGAAAGAGCACAACTTACTCCCTGGCGGTGGGCGAGGGAGAGGGCCTGGGCCCTGCCAGGCTGGGGGGTGCTCACTTAGGTGCCTGCGATGTCTGCATGTGCTTTGACTTCTGATTTCAATAAACGGCTTAGCTTTGAACTGAAGTGTGCCTAGTACATTTGAGGATAATGTAGGAGATCAAATTCTTGGGAAGTAGCCATTGCATGGAAAGGGACGAGAAAAATGAACTAAGGAGAATCAAATCTGACTTTTCTAGGAAGGGCAGCTGAGACTTGGGGCATAAAGATCATTCTGGGCAGGTTGGTTTGAACTGCTTGTTAATCCAGGTGGGCATTTATCAGTAGAGAAGCCTACCTGGGGACTACTTCAGTTTGGAAGAGCAAATTTAATAATTATTAATTAGCATTTTGGTGGAAATGGAAGCTCTGGTTATGCGTAGGGGAATGTGTAAAGCCCTGAGAGTAGGACATTGGCTGTATGTTGGAGAGCAGTTGAAAAAATGAGTCCCAGAGTTAGGAGACTAGTGAGAACTCAGTGGAGATAAAATAGTCCCAGATCCTTAGTTTATATATTCTGTAAATTTTTCACACACTTTAAGTTGAGAGGGCAGGAAGTGGTAGATAAGTTACAAGGAGATAGCATCCTGCTTCTGATGAGGAAGAACTTCTTAGTTCTTTCCCGCTGTCTGGAATTAGGCAGTTTATTCCGAGATGTGGTGAGCTCCTTGCCTTCAGAGCACCTGTAGTGTTCTGTCAGAATAACATCACGACATGCTGACCGGGTTTGAGTTGGAGCATTTGCCAGGCGCCCTTAAAGGGATTCTGCAGTGACTCGGGGCTGTGTGGACTCCTCACAGCTGCAGTAAGAAAGAGATCTGCACAGGTACACAAACAACATATATATGAATCAGAAAGTAATAGAGGTTTTGAGCAAACACTTGCTGTTTTTAAGTTCTTTATATGACATGTAAAAAAAAAGATTTTGGAGTAGGGGAGGAAAAATTCTGAGATCACATTACTAAAGGAATTCAGGGTTTCTTTAAAAGCAGTTTTAGGGCTCTCCCTAGTGGCACAGTGGGTTAAAGCACCGCATTATGAAGCTCTCCAAAGCCATTGCAGTATGAATTTGATCCCTGGCAGCCCAGGAGGTGACCCACATGACGCTGCAGACCTTCTCTGACCCGCCCGCTGCTCCCCTCAGTGGTGTACTTTGTCAACTTGCCTGTTCTGCTCCCCTCTGTGTCTGGTGAATCCTCTCACCCCCCTCCCCCACCTCTGGCCTGTACCCCAGTTCTGCAAGTATAAATAAATCTTTAAAAACAAAAGCTCTTTTAAGGACATTCTTTGTATTAGAAAAAGTAGAGGTAACACTTTGTTATTTGTCAACCTGGTTTTTTCTCTGAAATTTCGTTGCATTTTAAACTGACTTCTTAGGACCAGGTACAATGTAAATAGTGAAGCAAAATGTCTTTTATTTGTTTTTAGAATGAATATGAGCAATTAAATTATGCCAAACAGCTGAAAGAGAGATTGGAGGCTTTTACAAGAGATTTTCTTCCTCACATGAAAGAAGAAGAGGAGGTAAGCTTAATTTCCCTTTGGGATCCTGACTTAGGAGATTTTACAGGTAATGTTTTGCCTTTAATGCTTCAAAATAATGCCTGGGAAGAAAAGCCACCAGTTGATTTTTGGAAATGGAAAAAAAAAACCAAAAACAAAAACCAAGAAGGTAGAAAAAGTATATTAGTTCCTTCAGAGCGGGGTTGCTTTTCATTGAATAAGTAATTTAATTCATTGACTCAACATATATTTTCTTACGTAGATGGCAGTATTGAGTATGCCAACCTAATGGTATAACCTTAGAGGACCTTATAAACATTTCAGTATTTTGTGTATTTCATGCTAAGTTTGAAAGGTTTTTAATGTTCCCTGTTTAGTAGTGGATTTTAACAATTAAGTGGTATAAAACTTAGTTTTATCCTTAGTACTCACATGTTAGGATATCACTGATTGAATGAGTGAAAACTTCTTCAGATTCTTAATTCTCAAAAGTAAGGTCAATATTGGAAAAGTAATTTATAGGGAACTGGCAGTGTGACCAAGCTGTAAGGTAGTTGTTATGATTCTTAACTTTGGCTTCACCTTATAATCAGATTTGTACTTTTTTAAAAAAGTGCTGCTAAGCCCTTTCCAGGGCCAGCTAAATCAGGGGGGCTATGGCTAGATTTTATAGACTCTGCGGGTCGCTGTAATGTTCAGGCAGCATTGAAGCCGCTAAGCTCCTTGGAGTTGTGTTCTCAGTCTGTGGGAGACCCAGGAACCCCAACAACAGAAAGAAGTCTCCATCCCTGAGTACTCTGATTGTGGCAGTTGGAGGTTGGGCTTAATTTAAGCATCTGTTTCAAAAAAGAAGTCTCTCGGCTGATAGTGACCAGCTCAGGGTCTCAGCAGAGTGAGACTTCTATGGCGCCGGTTCTCTGGGCACCACTCTGTGCCTTAGATTCTGGTGCCCCAGTGGCCATTAACCGACAGAAATGTCTGACCACGAGAAGGCACCAGTTCCTTGGGTCCTTCTAAATGAGCAATCTTGAAAATGAGTGTCAGGCTCTGAACAGGAAAACTTCTCGCTCTGATGCTTCAAAGGAACTAGTTGGAGACACCACAGAGAAGGATCGCTTGGTTCTTGTCTACTAGTCCACTCTTCTTGGCCACACTGGCTCGGCAGTAAAACCCCAGAGGTTTCCATCTGGTCCTGCACTCACTGTCCTCGAGCCAGGTGAAGTCAGCAGGGAGAGGAGGGGGAGCTGGGCATCCGTGCTCACCAGTGCTGCTTGATCCAGGTGTTTCAGCCCATGCTGATGGAGTACTTCACCTACGAGGAGCTCAAGGACATCAAGAAGAAGGTGATCGCGCAGCACTGCTCCCAGGAGGACGCGGCCGGGCTCCTGCGGGGGCTCAGCCTGTGGAACCAGGCCGAAGAGCGGCAGAAGCTCTTGAAGTACTGTGAGGATGAGAAGTCAGATAAAGGTGGGACGCGGCGAGGCAGCGCCGGTTTGTGCAGCCGAGCGAGCCCTTTGCGAGCCCTCGGCACCTTGTCCATGGGGACTTCGGATCCCCTCCCCCTCTTTTAATCTGCAGATTCTGCTTGAGTGCTGTAAGCCACTTACTTTCAAGCACAAATTTAGTCGAAGATACAGATTCTGTTTTAGAAGTGAGTGTTGTTGGCCTGTTTCTGGCCTGCTAGACTGGTCTCACGAGGAACTGGCTTTCCAGGAGTAACTACGCACGTGAGGCAGCACGTGCCGGTGGCTGTGCCCAGGCCGGAGGCTGCCCGGTCGGAGGCTGCCAGGCCGGAGGCTGCCCAGTCGGAGAGCGCCGGGCCTCGCCTGGCTTCCCGAGCGCCTCGCCGGGCGGCTGTTCCTGCGCTGTTTCCCGTCAGCTGGGAAGCGGGTCAGGCTCTCACGCTGGCTCTGTCCTCGCCCTCACGGGCTTTACCTTTCGTCCACTGGAGCGCAGAGCAGTGAGTGTGAGACGCGCGTTTGTAGGAACAGTCACGGTGGGAAAACATGAAAAACTCAGACAGACCTGGTTTTCTCCCCCGCGGCATGGACTGTGTCCTCATGTTTATTCTTATCTTTGGTAGCTTTGCCTTTTAGAAATCCGTTAAAGAAAATGGGCATCTTTAGGGTAGTTAAAAATGATTTGGTTCCTTCTGTGTGGGCAACAGCAATGGCATTTTGTTAGATTAGCTTAAAATTATCTGTAATGGGTCCTTTTTTCTTATTATTTAACAAAGTAGGTGAGGTGCATGTTGAAACAAAAATGTTTTTCTAGGTTAAGCTATAATTAAACCCATAAAGCTTGTGTGCTTTCCTCTGAAAGGCAGCTTGAGCCTTAGACACCAAGCTAAGACCTGTTGCGTCTGGTGTAATTGTAATTACAACCTCAGATTTAAAAGCGTTACCTTTATTACATCTAATTTTCCCATTCCTTCAAAGCAAATTACAGCTGTATTTCAAAAAAAATTTCCTTTTTAAAAGGGTTAGGCTTAAGTAATTTGATCATGGTATTTCTATACTTAAGTTGCTTTGTGAGGACAAATCAGGTATACCAGGTACTCACAATTTTCATAGTGCTTTATTCAAGAATCCTTTATATGTTGTATTATTTTACACCTCATTTGCATTTTGCTTTTGGAAAATTGCTACTGCAATAGAAAGAAATACTTCAATAGAGAGGCCACAGGAGCAAAGGCAGTAAGCAGTTACAGTCGCATAATTACAATCCAGTGCCGGAAGGCCATCCTTGCTGACTGCAAGACGTGGAAAGGAAACGCACAGAGTCCAGGTAACATGGAAACTGGTCATCCAGTGACTGTTTTCTACAGTCTGTCCACCTTGCCTCTCCAGTGGCTGACAAGGTTCTGATAAATGTCTACCAGCCCTGGAAATAGTTACATTGTATTGCCGCGGCTGGCTCAGGAAGTCTAAGGTGGTGGGGCTTGTGTAGGTTCGAGAAGCTCATGGACCTGGACATGAGCTGTGAGACTCGCAGGACCATGGGGCGACACCGACCGCAGGGCTGGCACGTGAGTGGGGACGGTGCCGTGTGTCATCAGGGTGTCCTGGGGATCTCATAATCTGACCGTGCTGGACTCGGTGCAAAGCCGCATAACCTGTCGGGTTCCTTTTTTAAATGATGCTGCTCTGGCTACAAAGTGAGTATTGTTTTCCTGTGACGCCCAGTAAGAGGAAGTCAGTTCTGTGGCTCATCATCACTGTGGCTCCCACTGATGAAGTGAGATTTGGACCAGGAGAGCATAACCCTCCGTGTGCTCGACATCCATGTCACCGCTGCTCCGCTCTGTGTCCTTTCCACGTCTTGCAGACAGGAAAGAGTGGACTTTAGGCACTGGGTTTTTATTATTGAAATGCGATTGTAACTTCTTACTGCATTTGCTCTTGCGCCCTCTCATAGTAAAGTGTTTCTTTTTATTGCAGAAGCAGAAGTGTCAGAACAACCTACAGGTATATCCCATCTGCCTCCGGAGGTAATGCTGTCAATTTTCAGTTATCTTAATCCTCAAGAATTATGTCGGTGCAGTCAAGTTAGCACTAAATGGTCTCAGCTGGCAAAAACTGGATCCCTTTGGAAACATCTTTACCCAGTTCATTGGGCCAGAGGTAGGTAAATGGGACTTTCAGTTTGTGTTAAAAATATTTCTACCAATTTTTTTGGGTGTGGGGTGGATATTCAGACATTAATAGGCAAAGCCAGGGAGGGAAACTCTTGAAAGGTTAACCAAAAAGTAGACTTTATGGTTAGATGGTACGTTCTTTGTATCCACTTTTGACAAATTAGCAGTACTGATGTACTCACGGGTGAATTATGTAATGTGTGCATTTCTTTTGAAATAAGTAGGAACATGGTTTGGGAGGAAATGCATACTAATTGGCAAAATGTTGGTAATTGTTGATGGGTAATAAAAACTATGCTACTTTTTAATGCTCCTTCCACCTTTTGACTATTTGGGGGATTAAGAATTTTAATAACAAAAAGCTAATATATTTAATAAGCTAATAATAAAACTGATAGATTTTCAGAATAACTTAGGGTGAGTATTTTAAAATACAGGACAAGTAAATTTCACAATTGGAATTTTAGAGCCAATTTTAGAGAGTATTTGGAATGTCTCTTTTTGGTAGTGGCTAAAATAACTGAATACGGGGCCTGGGTACTTTACTTGCTACAGCATCAAAACAACTGAGTCTGATATTGTCTTCAGTACATCTCTTGTGACTGCTAATCTATAAGTGGCAATTTCATATTCATTAATTTCATCATGGGAAATTATTTTTTTTTAAAAGATATATTTTATTTATTCATACAGAACTGAGGTACAGGCCAGAGATGTGGAGGGTGAGAGGATTCACCAGGGACAGAGTGGGGAGCAGAACAGGCAGATCTATGAAGTACGCTGCCGAGGGGAGCAGCGGGCGGGTCAGGAGAGGTCTGCCCCGCCATGTGGACTCCTCCAGGGCAGGCGGGGATCGAACTCATGCGGAAGTGGCTTTAGCTTCTCAGTGCAGTGCTTTAACCCGCTGTGCCACCAGGGAGGGCCCATGGGAAATTAATTTTACATGCAACAACACAAACATACAATGCTACCCGGGGTGATGCCATGAACAGCATGTTTTTCTGTCATTGAGTTGAAATAATTCCTTCTAAATGAATTTTAACTTCAAAATCCACATTTTTTTTTAGTTTTCTATTATTTGATACTTTGACGTATAAATATACTTGCTTAATTAAATTATGAGCCATTTAAATTTTTTTTTACATTAATGTGTATTACTGTACATTAACATACTTTTAAAATATGCTGCTGTTAGGTTTCTAACATCTTTTGAATGAAGCTCTTTGGAATATTGGGTAGATGATTCAGGTGAAGGGAACCATTGATTTTATTTGGAATAACTTCATATTGTAGGGTAATGAAATACAAAGTGAAAAGTTAAATAAGGCAAATACGGGTATTTCAAATACTTTGCTACATATATATGTGTGTGTGTGTTTGTTTTGTAAAGATTCATTTATTTATGCATACAAGATCTGGGGTATAGGCCAGAGGGGTGGGGGTAAGGGAGGAGGAGAGTAAGAGGATTCACCAGAGAGTGGGAACAGAACAGGCGGATTTTTTTTTTTTTTTAAAGAGTAGGTTTAAAGGACGCTTGCATAGACACAATCGGGCAGGAAGAGCTGCCCCAGAAAGGACAGCTTTGTTGGAGAGGCCTGCATGGTTGCTGGTGGGTAGCCTTCAGAGAGCGGCCTCTACTGAGGGAGGTGTCAGGGCTGCTGCCTTGCAGAGTGGGTAGAAAGAAGCACCTGCATAGTCACAGGTGGGTAGAGGACTGCTACCTGAACAGGCAGATTTAATGAGCAGTGGGCTAGACAGGAGAGGTCTGCTGTGCCGTGTGGGTCAGCTCCCTGAGTGGGCATTGAACTCATGCTGCAGTGTCTGCCCACAGCTTCAGAGTGCTGAGTCTTAACCCCTTGTGCCACCAGGGAGACCCACCTATATTGTAGGCCTGGCGCCTGGTATCCACAGTGGCAAGGTTGAGGAGTCCTGATGTGGACACCGTGTTAGTTACGAGTTCAGCAAATCAGTTTTGCCCTGTCTCTTACTTCACAATGTGTGAGTTTTTGCTTTACCTTACTCCTTTCTTTTGTCTTCTGCTCCCATCTACTTCTGTTTTGCTGACTAATTCACTCCTGAGCACAAAGGCTTGCTTCCATTTGCATTAGTTAAATTGGGGTGTTGCTGGAGCCAGCAGAAGCTACAAAGGAGGAGAAGGTTAGGTGGTTTTCAGTGATTTAAAAATTATGTAGGATTAATGATAGTTATTTTTCATAATTCTTCTAGTGTGTCTGACATGAAATCCTTTATCTAGGTGTAGTTTTTAAACCTGTTAAATATTTCCACCAGTATCTGGCCTGTTTCTTAGAGTGCAGAGATTTTATTTAAAATAGGTGGCTTGTAATGTTAGCCTTTCCGATCTTGCTTTGTTTCTCTCACTGGCTTGTTTGTTGAGCAGGTGACTGGTATAGTGGTCCTGCCACAGAGCTTGACACGGAACCTGATGAGGAGTGGGAGAGCAGCAGAAGAGAGGAGTACCGTGCTTTTAAGGAGTGGGATGAAGATGCCGATATAGATGAATCTGGTAAGCTGTGCTATTACAAAGTGCTTTATGTATTGATTTATACAGTTTTTATACAATTTATTTTTGTATACAAGAAGGAGTATAGACCAGAGGGACAGGAGGGGTAAAAAGATTCACAGAGTCAGTGGATTCAATGAAATACACTGCTGAGGGGAGCAGCGGGCGTGACAGGAGAGGTCTGCCGCGCCCTGTGGGTCACTCCCTGGGTAGGGATCTGACTCAGGCCACAGCTGGTGACAGTGCTGAGTGTTAACTCCTGCGCTACCAGAGAGAACCACAAGGTGCTTTAGCATTTAATTCTTTATTAAGTAGTTAAGTATCTACAGTCATTGGTGTTCTGAGTTACATAATGTCAGTTTCTAAAGAAACTTTTTTTAAGATTTATTTATTCGTACAGAACTGGGGTACAGGCCAGAGATGCGGAGGATGAGAGGATTCACCAGGGACAGAGTGGGGAGCAGAACAGGCAGATCGATGAAGTACACTGCTGAGGGGAGCAGCGGGCGGGTCAGGAGAGGTCTGCCGCGCCATGCGGATCTCCTCCGGGGCAGGCGGGAATCGAACTCATGCGGAAGAGGCTTAAGCTTCTAGTACAGTACAGTGCTTTAACCCGCTGGGAGGGAGGGCCAAGGAACTGATGTTTTTAAGTTATTATTTTGTAAACTTGAAGAAAGAATAAGAAATTTAAACTTTATTCTGCTTAAAGTAATTTTTAAATGGGTATAGGGATTGTTACTCAGTTTATTTTATATTTAAATACTTGAAGAACAGGGAATGATAACTGTCTCCCCACTGAAATAATGTAGGTTACAGTTTTCTAGTTTGTAGTGTGTTTTAGAACCATTTTGTCAGTTCAGCAGCATTTATTGAGTCATGTGTAGCCCGAGGAAGGAGCGTGATGAAACTGTCTTCATTGGTAGGCATTCCTTTGACTTACCTCATGAGGTCATTGTAGAATTAGGAAGTCATATACATGAAAATTCTTTGTGAATGATAAGGAATTATAAAATATAAAAGGTAGTGGGGCCCTTCATCGAGCACTGAGGGAAAGTTTAGGGTGAGTAAGACAGTGTCTCTAACCTCAAGGAACAGGGGAGAATTTAGAATATTATTTTTATTTCAAGGTAAATATTGAAAAATGCTGTAACTAATGTTCAGAATGATACTATTTGGGAGTATGGGAGAGGAAACAAATCTTAGCTATTACTCTAGATGGTAATTGCTAAATGCTGATGAAATATTAAAAAACTAATGGATATGACTTTTTTTTACCTTTAAAACTGAACTTGTTAGGGAATTTTTATTCCCAAGATGCTTACATAAAAAACAGTAAGCTGCTTTGAGAAATTTGAGCACAGACCTCAAGAAGGTGCCCTCCTTGCTCAGATGTCATACTAAGGAAGACTTGTTCTATCCATTCTACAAGCTGGATAATCATGGTAATAATTAGTAATAGCAATTCATGATACCCATGTTAAGAGTTTTAAAGGTTTTTCACTCAGTGTATGTCTTCACACTGCCTCAAAACAACCATAGAGGAACCTGTTGTTTCCTTTAGTTTTTTTTTAAAAGATTTATTTATTTATACACACACAACTAGGACACAGGCCAGAGGTGCAGGGGCGGTGAGAGGCTTCACCAGAGACAGAGTGGGGAGCAGAACAGGCCAATGGACAAAGTACACTGCTGAGGGAGGGGAGCAGCGGGCGGTCAGGAGAGGTCTGCCGCGCCATGTGGGTCACCTTCGGGGCAGGGATTGAGCTCATGCTGCAGTGGTTTTAGCTTCTTAGTGCTGTGCTTTAACCCACTGAGCCAACAGGGTGGGCCCATTTCCTTTATATTTTGAAAAAGACAGCTGCTTAAGCCATAATGATAGTGCCTTCCTAAGGTGATAGGCCTGTTTAGTTGCTCAGTAATACTGCTTCTGAGCTGGTGTGAACCTGCCATCATTGGTAGTGCCTTTTTTTTTTTTTAAACATTTATTTATGCATACAGAATTGGGGTACAGGCCAGAGGTGTGTAGGGGGTGTGTGACAGGATTCACCAGAGACAGAGTGGAGAGCAGAACAGATAGACGAAGTACACTGCTGAGGGGAGCAGTGGGTGAGACAGGAGAGGTCTGCCGTGCCCTTTAGGTCAGCACCCTGGCCTGGGATCAAACTTTTGCTGAAATAGCTGCTTCTAGCTTTGCCTAGCTTCGTAGTGCTGTGCTTTAACTCATTGTGCCACCAGGGACGGCCTGTTGTTGTGCTTTTTTTTTTTTTTAAGATTTATTTATTTGTACATACAGAACTGGGGTACAGGCCAGAGGTTCAGGGGTGGCGAGAGGCTTCACCAGAGACAGAGTGGGGAGCAGAACAGGCAGATCAATGGAGTACATTGCTGAGGGGAGCAGCGGGCGGGTCAGGAGAGGTCTGCCGCGCCATATGGTCACCTTCGGGGCAGGCAGGAATCGAACTCATGAGGAAGTTGCTTTAGCTTCTCAATGCAGTGCTTTAACCTGCTGCGCCACCAGGGAGGGCCCATGTTGTGCTTTTTTAAGTTTACTGTCTTGACTAATGTTGGAGAAGTTTTTGTTTTCCATGGTATGTAAACATCCCATTTTTTACATTTCATAATGAACAGTTCTTATTTAAATAAGGGCACAGAAACAAAAGAATCATTTTGGAATAGAATTCATAGTAGAATAATTAGAATTCACTAAAGTTATTTTTTTCTAGACTGACATGTCTAACTAGTCTAGTGGAGGAGGTTAGGTTACTATCTACAAACAGAACCATTAATAACATTCATAACTTCTTTTCGTTTTCATTTCTTTTGTCACTACACTCAATTTTGTTTTAAATGAGAATTCCTAAATTTATTCTGTTGCTGCTTTATGTACAGGGACATTCAGGTTAGGCCTTCAGGGAAGCATAGTAGTTGGACCATAGAAAGGTGATAGAATTCTTAGTTCTTTCTTTTTAGAGTAGTCAGTATGTTTTTCTCCATTATATTGAATTGAAATTTGTAATTTTTTGGGTTGTGTTTGTTGTTACAATTACATCTTGTAAATGTCACAACACTAGAAGTTTGAGGAAAAAACAAAACCATGCTCTTTTTTAACTTGAAAATTCTCTGGTTTGTTATGACCGAACTACTTTAGTTTTCCAAGTTTCTAAGCTCTGTGTTCATCTTTACACGTGTAGATAAAAATCACAAATTTCATAAAATGCTTTTTACTGGGGACTCTCCTTGGGATGGGGTTAAGTCTCAGCACTATCACCACCAAGGCTTTATTTCGATCCCCGGCCAGGGAGCTACCCGCATGGCGCAGCGGCCCTTCCTCCTGTCTCCCCCGCTGCTCCCCTCAGCAGTGGATTTCAGTCACGTCACCTGTTCTCCCCACTGGTCACTGGTGAAACCTCTCACCCTCTGCACCATATATCTGGCCTACACCCTGGTTCTTCTATGCATAAACAAATAAATAAATAAATAAAAGTCTTTTTAAAATGCTTTTTATTGTAGGTGATTTTTATTTCGATGTTCTGCGTTTCTTTATGCTTACTATTTTTTTAAATGAGTTTAGTATTTTTTTACAGGACTTTTTACAGCATCTGAAAGTGGAGTTAGTTTTTTTTTCTTTTACCTAAGAAAATTGATTTGAAAATCACCTTCAACCCTGAAGCATATGAAAAAGTCATCATTCTCTTTATAAATGAATGTGTATTTTTTGTTTCTTTGTAGTTGATGTCAGACTTTTTAAATACTAAGTCCTGATGCCCGCTGCTTCCCTTAGCAGTGTATTTTAGTGGATCTATCTGTTCTGCTCCCCACTCTGTCTCTGGTGAATCCTCTCAACCCCTGCTCCTCTGGCCTGTACCCCAGTTCTTATATACATAAATAAATGAATCTTTAAAAAAAATAGATACTAAATCAGGGGAGTGAGACCTTGTCCATTTAACTTGCTTTGTATATATAGTGGAATTTAAGGATAGCAAAAGAGTACTTCAGATTAGGTGATTTCTTAAGTAAGTCTAATTACCACTTTGTGTATCAATTCTCAGACTTTTGAATTCATTTTACAGAGGAGTCTGCTGAAGAGTCGATTGCTGTCAGCATTGCACAAATGGAGAAACGTTTACTCCATGGCTTAATTCACAATGTTCTACCTTATGTTGGTACTTCTGTGAAAACATTGGTCTTAGCATACAGCTCTGCAGTTTCCAGCAAAATGGTATGTATAAATTATCACTAGTTTGAGAGTTAAGAAAAAGTTGCACTGATCTCAACTTGTTTTCCTTATTCCTTGAGTTTAACAGAGGAAATGACCACCTCCTGTGGTGTGTCTCCCTGTGGGTGGGGCGGTGCACACCCTGACTGGGTGTGACTTCATGTCAGTGATCTCTGTGCTCTGCATAGTGCAGATGTCATCGTCTGCACGTATGGGCAGGGAAAAGTATGGGCAGGGAGACGGGATCCGGGAGAGGTTAGGCAGCTTGTTCAGTGTTCTAGATGTGAAGTGCCTGAGCCTCATTTCGCATCATAGCATGTGAATCATGGTAAGAGGGACAGTGAGTTTGGACCACTGCCTCAGGAAAGTGTGTCTTGTGATGTCCCATGTCAGATTCTGCCTGGGTATGCCTTCAAAATACAGATTTCCTGGGTTCGGGCTCATGTTGCTAAGATAGTTCTCTAGGGTTTCAGCTTAGATTGTTTCTTTATATTTCAGAATCAAAGTACTTTTTACATGTACAGAAGTTGAGAACCGCCAAATTACATTATTTACTGAAAATTATCTCCCAGGTAACTTAAGTATCTGCAGATCTTCATGGTGACTTTTTCCTCCTTAGGTTAGGCAGATTTTAGAGCTTTGTCCTAATTTGGAGCATCTGGATCTCACTCAAACTAACATTTCAGATTCTGCATTTGACAGGTTAGTTACTTCAAAATATTTTAATATGTTTTCTGTAATCAGCAGATTTATTCTGTAGTTTTTCATTTGCTAACTGGAGTTTAGTTTTACTGTTGTTTTTTGTTTTTTGACGATCAGTTTCCAGTCATGTGTGGCTCCAGCTGGGTGGTCCCTCCACCCACAGGTCCCGGCTGGCCCAAACCCTGCCTGCGAACCCGTGATCTGTAACGCTGCCTGTGCCGGGGCCTGTGCATCTTGTGTGCTGCCTTGTGACTCGGCAGCCTGTGTTTCTGTAGTTTTCCATTTTCATGGAACTCTAAGTGCCATTGGCAAAGCTTCCTCTTAACATTTTTCGGTTACGCTGAAATTGTGATTCTTTCTTTAAGCTATACTTGTCTTGTAGATTTTATTTCTTCAGCTGCCATCAGTCTCTTCTCTATTTCCTCTCACCCTTCTCCTCCCTCACACTGGCTGTTACATCCACACCTCTCACCCTGCTTCAGACAGAGGCCTGAGCTCTCTGCCTAAGACTAGTTTTCACTCGTTCTAGAACTTACTTCTTCCACATCCTCCTAATCATCAGTCTCTTCTTTTCAGGTGGAAGCAGCCTTCCTCTGCTGCTTTCTCTTCAGGGTAATAAACTGAAGCCTCTCCCTTTCACACCCTTTTCTCCCCCTACCCTGCTTTACTTAGCAGTATTCTTAGTTCCAGTTATGCTTAGTGTCTTCTTACCACTAGCTTCTAAAGTAGTGCCTGGCAATAAAGAGTCCATACATGTTGGAAATTTTAGACTTGAGATCGTCTAGTTTCCAGTTACTTAGAATCAAATGCTTTGAAAGAACTTAGCGATATTTGTTAATAGTCTCCTTATCTCTTAATTCTAGCTGGTCTTGGCTTGGTTGCTGCCAAAGTCTTCGGCATCTTGATCTGTCTGGATGTGAAAAAATCACAGATGTGGCTCTAGAGAAGATATCTAGAGCTCTGGGAATTCTGAGATCTCAGCAGAGTGGCCTTTTGAAAACTTCTGCAAGCAAGATTACTTCGACTACATGGAAAAACAAAGACATTACCATGCAGTCCAGCAAGCCGTACGCTTGTTTGCATGACCTAACTAACAGCGACATTGGAGAAGAAATAGATAATGAACATCCCTGGACTGAGTCTGTTTCTTCTGGGAGCTTTACTTCTCCTTACGTGTGGATGTTAGATGCTGAAGATTTGGCCGATATTGAAGATGCTGTGGAATGGAGACACAGAAATGTTGAGAGTCTTTGTGTAATGGAAACAGCATCCAACTTTGGTTGTTCCTCCTCTGGATGTTACAGCAAGGATATCATCGGACTAAGGACTAGCGTCTGCTGGCAGCAGCACTGTGCTGCCCCGGACTTTGCACTTTGTGGTCACTCGTTTTGTTGTACAGGAACAGCTCTAAGAACTATGTCAGCACTCCCAGAGTCCTCTGCGTTCTGTGGAAAAGCATCAAGGACTAGACTGCCTGGGGGAAAAGACTTAATTTACTCTGGGAGTGAGAAGTCTGATCAAGAGACTGGACGTGTTCTTCTGTTTCTCAGTCTGTCTGGATGTTACCAGATCACAGACCGTGGTCTCAGGTCAGTAAGCAGCGCTAGATAACTAGGAAGGAAATGGACATGTTCTCAGTTTCAGATGTGAAAAACTGACTTTATTTTCTATCAGCTGGTTTATTTTAACCAATGCTAACTGTCCTGTCTCAGAGTGTTGAAACAGTACCAAGCAGCATGAAGTTTCTGCAGTATGTGGATGGCCAATGCATTTAAAAGCTTAATAAGTAGCCAATGCCTGCCACTCACTTTTCTGAGGTTCTTTAGTGGGTGTAAAGATGAGTAAGATATAATTTTTATCCTCAAAGACTTGTAACAGGAGAAAATAGTTCTGTCATGTTTTATTGCTGTGTATTATTTGTGTGGCTTTCTTACGGGATGTTGGATAAAGCTGCTGTGGGGACAGGAGAGCAACCTCTCATCCAGTTGAGATGTTGAGGTGAATAATCGGGAAGTGTGACGAAGAGATGCCATTAAGTTGACCTTGATGAAATAGGATGTCCCTGGGTGGTGGTGGAAAACGCCACTGCTGCCGAGGGCGCCCAGCAAGCGCACAGTAGGGCACTACGGGCCCTGAGTAGGGCGGCAGTGGCTGCTGGCGCGTTAACAGCGTGCGGCAGTGGTTTGATTAGCTGCGATAGGAGCCTTTGGAGATGGCATGTTTCTCTCTTATCTTGAATAGACTTGAGCTCCATTAGGGCTGTAACAGTGGGTGTCAGACACGATAAACAGTGAAGAGCTCATGTGGCATAAAGCCTCGGGTGCCTCTTGTGGTGCGTCTAATCGTCCGCAGATCAGTGTAGAGCTCATCGGGGAGTGTTCAGGCTTGCAGTGTCCGTTTGCTTGTAGTGGAGGAGATGTGCTGGGGGCACTGGGTGAGCAGCCTGGGACGGGCTGATGGTCTCTCAGCCGAGAGAGTGAATGCCAAGCGGAGAAAGTCTTTTTTTGAGTAACTCTTTATATTCTTTCTTCAGGAAGCTCTGTCCTTTTAAGAACAAAAGGATGTGCATATTCCAAATGTACCACACATTGTCCAATAACTATAAATAAAATTTTAAATCTAGTTGAAGGAAGTTTGTAAAGGAATTTTTGTAAACAAAGTGAATAGTTTCACTCTACCCTAATTATTGGCATTAATATAAAAAATAAATCTTTAAGAGGTATAGAAACCTTTTTTTTAAGATTTATTTTTTGTTTATGCGTACAAAGAACTGGGGTATAGGCCAGAGGTGCGGGGCTGGGGGTGAGAGGACTCCCCTGAGACAGAGTGGGGAGCAGAAACAGACAGATCTACTGAAATCCACTGCTGAGGGGTGCAGCGGGGAGACGGCGGGTCGGCCGCGCCGGTGGCTGGCGACAGCGGCCGTGGTGTTGGCACTCAGTGGGAGACCCCGTCCTACATTTAGACCTTTGGAGTTAAAGTGCTGAGGACTTCCACTGAGGGCAGGGGAAGTGTGCAGAGCCATGGTGCAGCCTTCACGAGGTCTGAGAGGCGAAGCGCTCTGAGCAGTCGCCAGGGTCGCAGCTGTCCCCCCTGACTGTGAGTTACTCACTTGTATGTTTTTCTTAAAGTCATAAAGAGAATGTGGGAAAAGTTCTACTACATTTTGCTTGTAACCATGATTTTTAGCAGGTTAAATGGATCTTTTTTTGTTAGAGCAAAGGAAGAGTGGAGGTGAAACATTTACTGGAGAGGTCGCGCCTCTCGGCAGACACTGCCATGTGTCCCCCGGCCGCTAGGCGGCCTGCGTGTGGAGGAGGTGCCACAGTCGCTCACTGCGGCCAGGCCGGCGGGGGGCAGTGCCCTCCGGGTAGGGCCTCAGTGGACGCTGGTCCTGTTCTTTTTCTGCATCATTATTGACTTTGTCCAAAATACTTCACCTCCTAGTTTTGAGTTTTACGTGAGATGAGTGCCTGGAAAGCAGCTAACAGTGGGATACAGAATTGTTTTTCAGTAAGTGGTAGCTGCTGTGCAGTAATTATCTTTGCGATGAGTCTTTGGAAATTGATTACATGTTTTTAAATAATCTGACCACTACTAGAACTCTTTAATAATGGGGTGCAAGATGTGTTATAATGAAACATTCATCCAGCCCAAAATCTAGTACCCCCCTACAATTATAAAAGATCCTTAATATGAGATTGTCAGCAATCTCGTATTAGTGACTTTTAGGAGTCACTAATAATCACCAGTGTGCTTTCAGCTGAGGAGCCTGCCACTGCATCCCTGCTACTCTGCATCACTCCATTAATTGCTGTGTGTTCAGACGCAAGGGCATGTATTCCAGTTAAAACATCTGAAAGCAAAGGCTTCCTTATGTTGAGATTTATTCCTTTAAAAGGCTTATATTTTTATAGGTGTTCCCAACTAATGCGACTTACTTATTTTTGACTATAAACAGCTTTTAAAGTAAAAGGAATTTCTGGGCCAATTTAAAATGTGATAAGTCATTTCCCATTCCCATTATCTTTTTCATTACCATCACATCTATTATGAAAACTTCTTCATGACTTTATTCAGTTACATTTTCAACATGACCAGTTTTATTTTTCAAAGAATGAATAATACAACCCTTGGTATTATTTCAGAATTGCAATAATGTCTGGGTCAGTTGTAATTTCCTATCTTTTCCTCAGTTTTGTCAAGATTTTGAAAAATAACCCAGACCCCAGAAAAATAACCCAAAATCAATAGGAAAAATTGATTTTTAAGGGGAGTCGAGATTTTTTTTTTAAAAAAAGATTTATTTATTTATTCATACAGAACTGGGGTACAGGCCAGAGATGCAGAGGGTGAGAGGATTCACCAGGAACAGAGTGGGGAGCAGAACAGGCAGATGGACGAAGTACACTGCTGAGGGGAGCAGCGGGCGGGTCAGGAGAGGTCTGCCGTGCCATGTGGTCACCTCCGGAGCAGGCGGGGATGGAACTCATGTGCAGAAGTGGCTTTAGCTTTTTTGTGCTGCACTTTAAACCCATTGCGCCACCAGGGAGGGCATAGAGTCGAGATTTTGATGAATTTAATGTAGAGGTGTTTTACATTTGACTTCAATGAATAAAAACTTAGAAACTTTATGTGTAAGGTTGGGATAAACTTAGAAAGGGGATATTTCATCCGTAAAACCAAGGTTTTATTTGAAGGAGTCTCCATGTCTGGTTTCCTCCAAGGCAGAGAGTTCATTTCCCAAGTGAAATTGAAGAAAAATATGAAGTTTATTTTTAGTTGTTACTTCACAGTATGATTTTGGTACTTTGTATTAAAATTCTGATGTTCTTGACTTCAGAAATAACTAAGTGGATCATTTGTTGCTGTTGAACATGGATAGAAGTTAACATTTCTGGCTTATCTCAGTAGTTTTCCTGAGAAGCTCTATGAGATTCTTGAGAAAAACTGAGTTTGTATTCAGGGAAGAACTCATTTTGGGGACGGGAGAATGCACAGAAACTAACACATCGAGAAAGCCTGCAATTGGAGTGCAGATGGTCTTCGAAATTGGGTTGTCGTGGAGAATCTTTCATTTAGATATTTATAAAGCATCTACTAGACGTCTTTCCTGTCCTAATTGTTTAGAGTAAGTAAGGTAAATTAGCTGCTTTCACATTGTTCATACAATAATTTTAGAATTAACCCATAAACATATAATTAGACTGACCTTTCAGTAGGAAAGTAAAGTTGAACTACAAGCTAGTGAGTAAAGAGAATGTGCCTTCATATTTGATGACTTGGCAAGCTTTGAGAATCCATTTTAAGAGTAGAGATTGAAATGAAGTTAGTGTGTTTGTGTGCATTTTGTGGGAAAGAGGCTAAGGAAGTAGATAAAAACAATTTTAATTTTTAGAATCAACTTGCATTCATTGTGCTTTTTGAAAAGTACTTCAGTCAACTAATTAAGGTACCTACATCTGATGTCAGTAGATTTGAGACAAACATACTTTCGCTACAGCTAATGGCACCAGCAGTGCTTGTTGGGAGTGCTCACTGTGTCCTTCTGCATTGATCATTGTGTTCTTACTCAGGCATGACTGCGTGAATTTTGGCAAAGTTGGTTATAGGAGCTTGGTAAAAGAACAAAGTAAAAAAAAATAAGTTGAAAATAAAGATTTTAAACTGTTGAAGCCACAGGGAATGGCTAGTTAAACATAGATAGTCTTAATATAGTATTTTCTGCTCTATATAGGGATGAAAATAAATTTGGCTATTATTGATGTAAAAATATAGTTTCTTCACTAAATTCTCAACCTTTTTTGTCCCCAACTTTATCATTTCTGTTGTGGTGCAGACTACTTATTCTCCCCTTGGCAACCATTTGCAGACATTGTATGTAGTCGGGCCTTACCTTTTTTAAAATCCAACTGAACTTTCTCTTCTCATCTAATTGATTGTGTAGGCCACTTACATTTAATGTAGTTACAGAGATGGTTAGGTTTATGACTACAATCTTGATGTTTGTTTTCCCCTTGTTTCATCCTTTTTTTTTTTCCTGACGTATTTCTGGTATGTTGGTTTTTAATCTACTATTTTCCACTGCCTCATTTGCTTAGTGTTAGTGCCAGACTTTGTATGCAAATTAAAAAAAATTGTGGCAAAGGTTACATATAAACGTTACCATTTTAACCATTTTCAAGTGTATAAATCTAGTTGTATTGTTGTATAAATTCTCCTATTTCCAAACTTTTTCACTGTTTGAAATTGAAAAACTCTATTAAGCAATAATTCCTTGTTTTCCATCCCTCCCAGCCTCTCGCAACTTCTGTATTACTTCTGTCTTTATGTATTTTATACATCTTAGATCTGTCACATAATGGAATCATATCACACTTGTCCTTTTGTGTCTGGCTTATATTATTTAGCATAATGCTGTTAAGGATCATTCATGTAGCAAGTAGCAGAGCTTTATTCCTTTTTATAGCTGAATCATTACTGTATTTTCATGTCACTTTTCATTTACCTGGGCATCACTGATGTCATCATTAGTGAGTACTTGGGTTGTATTTGCCTTTCAGCTGTTGCAAATGATGCTGCTGTGAACGTTGACTTAGAAGCATTTGACTTCTGTTTCTATTTCTTTAGTTTCTTTCAGTAGTGTTTTGTGATTTTCAGTATACAAGTCTTTTGCTTCTTTGGTTAAATTCATAAGTATTTAAAGCTTTTTAATGCTCTTGTAAATGGAGTTGTTTAGCTAAGCTTCCTTTTCAGATTATTAATTGTTACTATATAGAACTATAATTTTTGCATATTGATTTTGTATTCTACTTAATTTATTTCTTAGCTCTGGCTTGTGACTGCTTTAGAATTTTCTACATGGAAGATCATGCCATCTACAAAGATAATTTTACTTCTTTTCAAGTTTGGATGCCTTTATTCTTTTTTTTTCTTCCTAGTCTAATCACGCTGACTAGAACTTCCAGCACAAAATGTCCATATTTCTAATCTTAAATGAAAAGCTGGGCCCTTCCTAGTGGCACAGTGGGTTGAAGCACAACACTGCAAGCCAGCTGCAACTGCTTCAGTGCAAGTTCAATCCCCACCCCAGAGGTGACCCACATGATGCAACAGACCTCTCTTGTGTCGCCCGCTGCTCCCCTCAGTAGTGTACTACATCAGTCTGCCTGTTCTGCTCCCCACTCTGCCTCTGGTGAATCCTCTCACCACCTCTGTACTTCTGGCCTGCACCCCAGTTCTGTAATGAATAAATAAACCTTTAAAAAAATCTTTAAGAAAAAGTGAAAAGTTTCCAGTCTTTCACCATTAGTATGTTAGTATTTGCCTTTTTCATGTCAAGTTCTCATTCACTCCTGGCTTCTGAGTTTTTATTATTGTTATTACTAGAGAAAGGGTGTTTGGTTTTGCCAAATTCTTTTTCTGCATCAGTGGAAATGATCATGTGATTTTTTCCCCCCTTTCATTCTCCTACTATGTACTATAAGTTGATTGATTTTCATCTGTTGAAGCACTTTTGCATCCCTAGGACAACATCCAGTTGGTCATGGTCTGTAGTTCTTTTCATATGCTTCTGGACTTAGCTGGCTAGCTTTCTGTGCCTTTGTTTTTAAGAGACAGTTAAAGTTGGCCTGTGGTTCTTTTTTTTCCTAGTGATTTTTTCTGGCTTTGGTGCCCTCCTAATAGTGGCTATAGAATAGGAAGAAGAAGAAAAATAGTAGGAAGTCTTCCTCTTCCGCATTTTTTGCAAGAGTTTGAGATGGATTGTTATTAATTCTCCTTTAAATATTTATTAGAATTCACCACTGAGGCCTTTTGACTTTGTCTTTTTACTTGGGAGGTTTTGGATACTAATTAAATCGCCTTGTCATTGAACTATTCAGATTTAAAAATATTTTTCCCCAAATCACTTTTTGTGCTGGTATGTTTCTAAGTAGTTCCCATTTCATTTGGGTAGTATGACTTTGTTAGCATATAGTTTATCATACTATCTTATAGTCTTTTTTCATTTCTGTAAAATCAGTAGTAATGTCCCAACTTTCATTCCCGACTTTGGCAATATGAGTCTTGGCCACCTCCCCTCCTTTTTTTTTTTTTTTTGTCAATCTGGCTAAAGGTTTCTTCATTTTGTTGATCACTTCGAAGAGCCAACTGTTGGTTTTGTTGATTTTTCTCTTGTTTTTCTATTCTCTGGTTTTTAAAACTGTTGCTCTAGTCTGCCTTTCCTTCTGCTAGATTTGGGGTTAATTTGCTTCTCCTTTTCTAGTTCCTTAATAATGAACAGTTAGGTTAATGGATTAAGATTTTTTTTTTGATTACTATAAATTTCACTCCCAGCTGCACTTTTGTTGTATCTCAGAAGCTTTGGTATGTTGTGTTGTTTTAATTCATCTTAGTTTCCTTCGTAATTTATTGTTTGACCCACTTGCTGAATTTCCAACTTTCCTTCTGTTACTGAATTGTAGTTTCATTGCATCAGAAAATATACTTGTTGAGTTCAGTCTTTTTAAATTTATGAAAACTTGTATTGTGGCTCTAACCTGCCTGTCAGTCTGTCTTGGTAGGTGTTCCCTGTATTGGGAGGTGTGTTTTCTGTTGTTTGGGTGGTGTGTTTTGTCTGTGTCGTATGGTCTAGTTTGTAGTATTCTCCTAGTTCTCTGCTTCCATATTGATCCTCTGTCCAATTGTTATATTCATTATTAAAAATAGTACAGTGATGTCTTCAGTATTGTAGAAATTTCCCTTTAGTTCTTTGCATTTTTGCTTTGTGTAACTTTTTCCTTGACCAGGAATGTAAGAGTAATCTATGGCTGCTTAATATTTTGTTGTATGGTTGTACTGTTTTGTTCATGCATTCGTTAATCAATGAGCTTTTGAGTTTCCACTTTTTGGCCACTGTGAATAATGCTGTGAACATTCATTTATGTTTGTGTAAACAAATGTCTTTAGTTCTCTTGGGCATATACTTAAAGAAAGGAATTGTTGCATCTTATGCTAACTCTGAGGAATTGCCACACTGGTCAGTGATTTTCAATCTGGTAGGAGAATGAAGATTTCAGTTCCAGGATTCAGTACTTCCTTCCTCTAAGTGTTGAATTGCTCTACTGTTCTTACAGAGAAACAACTTCATGCCTGTGTATTCAATGTCTTTAGGAAAATGTGTTCTTGCCTATAGATGTGGTCTGTTACTATGTTTTATAGAATTTCATAAATGTTCTCATTACCAAATGGAAGGGTCTGTTACTTGTGGTCCAGTGGGCCATAGGCTAGTGTAAATTTTCATAGAGGTTTATAAACCAGAGACATTTTAGGGGTGGAAAGAGGAATGGGGTCAGAACTAGGGGGGAAAAGGGCACAGGACTATGGTGATGGCACATGGTGAATTGGTGCTGGGAAGTCCATGGGGATTACAGCTGAGCTGAAAAAATGCACAAAATGAACAATGAAGTAAAAACAAATAATAGGGGCCCTCCCTGGGGGTGCAGCGGGTTAAAGCGCGGCACTGCAAGCCGGCCGCAGACGCTTTGGTGAGGGACGTGACCCAGATGGCGCGGCGGACCTCTCCTGACCCGCCCGCTGCTCCCCTCAGCAGTGTACTTCGTCCATCTGCCTGTTCTGCTCCCTACTCTGTCTCTGGTGAAGCCTCACACTGCCCCTGCACCTCTGGCCTGTACCCCAGTTCTGTTTGCATAAATAAATAAACCTTAAAAAACAAAAGTAAGGTCTTCAGTTAAAAAATAACTTGAATGAATGAAGTGTACTTAAGCTAAAAGCAGATTTCATGGAGGAGTACGTCTCAACTGTCAGCCTTCTCTTCCAGGGTGCTGACGCGGGGAGGCGGGCTGCCGTACTTGGAGCACCTGAACCTCTCCGGCTGCCTCACTGTCACTGGCGCAGGCCTGCAGGACTTGGTCTCGGCGTGCCCTTCTCTGAATGATGAATACTTTTACTACTGTGACAACATTAACGGTAATGCCTTCCAGCATCGAGGTCCGTTCGAAGGAATTGATCCTTAGGTTTGGCTTTCTAGATTTCAAGCTACCAAACTTGCTTATTTTCAGGGTTAGTCTTTTACTTTCGATAAATTAAAAAAAGTTACTTTGCATCTTCATTAACTTCTCTACAGGTAAGTTTTCCTGGTGAAGAGATATTTCAAATACCATTCTCTGAGCTTGAGATCTACAATAATTTTATGATTCCAAAGGTGGGAAGTTGTAGTAAAAATTTTAGATTCTTGTGAAAATGTGGGAAGTTCTTCTGGAGTGGTGTGTTGATGACGGCTTATTAGCACCTTAAAGTATTGATGCTCCAGATCCACTGACTCCTTAGGGATGGCAGGCTCAATTCTTTTGTAGGGCAGCTCTTTAAAATATAATAGAAAAAGGAGACTTTGGCCACAGGCTGAATCTTCCAGGATCTTAGAAAATCTGGTTCCAAACAGATCTTCTGGTAGGTTGAGAAGGGTAGTATTGGGGAAGAGATTGAGAGGCTTTAGATGTGACTGAAATTTTTTTTTTTTAATTAAAGATTTACTTATTTTTGCATACAGGACTGGGATACAGGCCAGAGGTTCACGGGGAGAGAGAGGATTCACCAGAGGCAGAGTGGGGAGCAGAACAGGCAGATCGATGAAGTACACTGCTGAGGGGAGAGGCGGGCGGTCAGGAGAGGTCTGCCGCGCCCGGTGGATCACCTCTGGGGCCAGGGATCAAAGTGGTTGCAGTGCTGTGTCCTAACCTATTGTGCCACCAGGGAGGGTCCGTGACTGGAATTCTTAACAGTATTTTCAAGTTGAGTCCTACAGCTACTTTTAACAATCACCAGATAAATATTTCTTGTTTTTGTTATTAAACCTATTCCTGCCCTACAACCCGTCTGTTAAACTTTCTAAAGTACCTTCCATTCCCTTTCAGATTTTAGATTGCCATTGAGAAGAGGGTAACTTTCTGCAAGGCATGAAAAGTTGCCAAGTTAGTATTTGTAGTTACATTTGTAACTGGGAAAAAATTCAGATTCTGTTGTGCACCTGTCTTTTCGGTTGCGGTGTGTGTGAGAGCCCATCGCATCTTCAGGTGACGGAGGAGGAGCGGAGCTGCTGGCAGAGCAGTTAGACTAGAGGAGTGGCCAGGGACCTGCCAGCAGGCAGAGGAGTCAGTGGACACGCCATCTCTGGGGGCTGTCCGGCTGTCCTCCACTTGAGGAGACCAGACAGGCGCCCTCTAATTTCTGGAGTCAAAGTAGAAAATGTTAGAATAAAGTTGCATTGTCTTGACAACACAGCTGGTCCTCTCTAATTGGTTGATATGTTTTACAGGGGTCTAAGAATAGTGAGCATATTTAAATTATTTGAGAGTTACGTACCAAAAATTGTATCTTTTAAAAAGAAAGTTTACATAGCTAATGAAAAGATTTAAATACTGATAAACAACATTTGTTAAATAATAAGTTATAAATAAAAGTAGAATGATGTATTTTCTAATCACTGGCAGAGATTTTGGAAAATACAATAATCAGATATTCAAAGACTTTGCAGTAAACAAGATACTGTGTTAAGCATAACATGCCAGTTTTGATTCTTCTGAATGATTATTTAGGACTTTTAAATTTGTTACTTGGTTGAAAAAGTTAAGATTTAAATGTAAGAGTAGGCTTCTTAGCCATAACATTAAAAAATGCTGTCATTTACAGAGTAGCAAATGCAACTGTGTAGTTTTGAGAGTTCTGAAGAACATTTGAGAAGTGGTAGCAAACTCTCTGTGTTGATGTGCATGTCTGTGCATGTATAATTTATGAATCGAGATAGATTAGCTTATAGTTCTGAAGGTGACACGGTCTCAGATGATTTGCTCTCATGTTTCTGATTTAAGTTGAGGAGTTAAAGGTAAGTGAAGGTAAGTACAGACATGCAGCATAAGTGTGCAAATAATACACCGAAGGTTCAGGAAAAAATCACAAGTAATAAAAATGGAATGATCTATAGCTAACGTTATAGCTCTCTGTAGCTAATATTTTGTTTGTTTTCTAGCTAATCTATTTAAGTGCTTTCTTTTAAAATTTATACTTTACCGTGCATTTAAAGAGTGTGTTTAATGCTCATGCAAATTTTATCTTCCTGTTTTCTTTATTGTTCAATTAATTTAGCCCTCCTGTGTTATAACCATTTGGGTTTCTGTCCTGTGTTGAGATGGACGTTTGCTGGTGATGAGCCAGAGTGAAGGGAGCAGCCTTTTGAGTCGCCGGCGTCTGGGAGCCTGGCTCTCCCCCCGGATCCCGGCCCACGCGCCTGCGCATCCTTCTCACGCTGCCTCCCTGTTTCTGTTGGGGCTTATCCTGGCCTGTGCTTGTCTCCTCTCCTGAACGCCTCCTGGGATGATTAGGGGTCTTGTTGACATTGCCTGTGGTTTTCCGCTCTGGAAATTGCTATTCTCCCATTTTTTTCTACCCTATGGACTAAGCTAAGTTAAACAAAGTGGATGTCTTCACTTTTGCTTTACCTCAGGCCGTCATTAGAATAAAGTCCCTTCACGTGATGGCCCACCTTTGTGGGTTCTTGGGATCAGATCCCACTCTGGTGTTGACCTTTCTGTGTTTTGAGGTCATTAGTGTTGGGTTTTGGGTACGCTATGTATTAGTTCTCTCAGTACTTAGAATCCCAGGAGCACTCGGGCATCCCGGTGCCCATTTGAGCATGTATCTGTGTGTGTGAGACCTTGGTGTTGGGGTGAGTGAGGAGACGCCCACAGACCCCCCCGGGGCTGGCTCAGCTCCCTGCGGGCGGAGGCGCGCTCACGCCTGCGTGTTCTCCCCGTTGTCCCTCCACCAGCACTTCGACTTTGGGCTCGCAGAGCTTCACCCTCGCCCTGGGTGAAGGCAGCGCTGCTGGCCTCTTTGGGGAGGACTGAGTCCTGGCTGGTGTTGGGGGGTCTGAGTCCTGCAGAGCAGCCTCCTTGAGCCAGCTGACTTGGCTCCTTTGGTTCCCTCCCGCGAGCCAGGAGCTCCTTCACTAGGCTGCTCTCAGCTGTCACTGGAGAGCTTTCCCTTGGCCACTGTTGAACTCAGTACAGAATCTCCTTTTTGGCTTTGTATCCTTGTTAGAAATAGGATTATGGACACTTTGAAGTATTTTGGGAAAGTTGAAGTCTCCATGTCACTACCCTTTTACAAAATTGGGGATAGAATTACATACTGAGACATTAATCAGCAGACTCCTTCTTCACAGAACCAGCCTCTCAGGCATTTCGCCACAGGGACGGAGGCCGGGCCTAGTGAGGCGAGCAGGCTTGGGTCTTCGAGGGAGCCGCAGGGTGACTGGCAGGAGGCGCTGAGGGTGACCAGTGATCACACGGGGAGAAAGGAGGTCCACAGGGGTTGTGGCGGGAGGTTAGCAGGTGCAGATAGTCGAAACAAGTATTTTCAGTGGAAAATCTGAGAAGAGAAGCGTTTGAAACTCAAAGAAGAGTTTCAAATTACAGGATTTCATAGTCCCTTTTTCAGAATTCCTGATAATATGTGCTAAGAGCTTTTATTTTGACCATTAAAATGATTAACATAATAGTCTCTATTTCAAGACAGAAATGCTTGGTAGTGAATATTGAATACTTGCAACACTATTCATTTTTGAAACAGATTTTTCCCCTTATAAAATATTTTAAAGATAATATAATATTTTGTTTTTACATCACTTTGTGCCTTTTTCCATCTCAGTTGTAATCCCCGTGGGCTTCCCGTCACCAAATCACCTGTGTGCCCTTCCCATAGTCCAGTGCACTTCCTTCCCCCACCCCACCGTTTTTTATCCCATTCCCCACTCCGCCCCATAAAATGTCTCTGGTATATAGCTGTTCTTTATTGTTGTTATTTTCTCTCCTGGTCCGTTATACTACTGCTATGCGTGAAACCATCGGGTATTTTTCCTTTTCTTTCTGGCTTATGAAATAGAACAGATTTTAATTTCTGTTGCATAAAAAATGGAGTTATGGTAATTTGATTTTACATTTGAGATAATTTAATGTTGATTATGGAAATTTGAGACAGAAACTTAATATAATGAATCCTTCTATGTCACTGGCTGCACTGGCCGTTACAGACCTGCAGCCCGCCTTCTCTGATACCCGTGTCCCCTTTCAGGCCCTGCGCCCCTTCCCTGCCTGAGCACCATCGATTCTAAAATGAGACAGAAGAATCTGAAAATGAATTAAATCATAAGCTATTGTAGCTCTTCAGTTTCTTTTCTTACCTACAGACACATTATGATTTCCATTACGAAAGGCATAGACATTACACTTGTTGATTGCAGACCCGCAGAAGTGGTGTCCTTTGTGTTTCACATCTGCCATTTGGGGGCCCGGGGAGAGTTGCATTCAGGGAAACAAGTGTGTTCATTTGCGAGTACTTATTTTCTTGTTTTGGTATTGCATGATTGCCTTTTTGGTCAGCGGGTTACTACTTTAAAAAGCCAAAGCAAATTCAAAAACGTCTGAGCTAGACTAGATAGCCATTCAGAGTACTCTCTCAGTTGTGTACTCTACATAAAATGATACTCCATGTGCTTTGGTGGGACCTTTACATGTTGTGGTTTCAGTGTTGGGTCCTAGTGCTTGAGTGAGGAGCTGGCGAGTCAGCCGCTCTTCACAGGCTGCCACCACCGCCGATGTTTCTGTCAGCGACGCCCCCACCTTCGGCGTGCTCCCCGGTCTGGTGCTCCCCGGTCTAGCTGGGCTGCCAGTGCACACCGATGGCCACGTGGGGTACGCCCCCGACGCCTCTCGGCCCGGTGGTTGTCGTGGGACAGGACTGTGTGACTGCGGTGAGGGCAGTTCTGAAAAGCTTGGGTGGGGTTAATCAGCCTTTGCCACGGTGCCTGCCTGTGCGAATGCTGACTGTCGGGGTACTTGACAGCTGAGCGAACACCCGCTCTCCTTCGCAGCTCCTGAGCCTGTGTGTGCTATGGAGCTCTCATCCTCCATCTGAGCCGCAGGCCTGGGATAAATCACAGCCACACCAAACGTCTCCTGCTCTCCTTTGTGATTAAATCATAGTTTTTACTGTGTCTTAGATATATTTTTTGAATCACCCATGAAGTGCTTCATTCTGGAAGATAATTTCATCTGCTCTTACCGTATGATTTGTTTTTACTGTAGATATGAAATAAAAATATGGAAACAGTATATGTGTATACAGTTCTTAATTAAAAAGTGTCACATATGCTGTCATTTCTCATGACTGGGTTCTCTAACTTGTGTGTGACAGCTGGACAGCTTTTGCCTCGCGTGTCGAGGAAGACTGTTCCGGACATAAGGATTCTGCCAAGTTAGCTCTGTAGCTTTGCTTCTGTGGGTTACCGCCTCACCTTGGATTTTTATTTTGCAAGATCACTGCCAAATACTCTCTCTCCCTTCTAGCACTCACTGCCGGGGCCACGAAGGATAGTGCTGAGTCTGAGTAATTCCTTTTACACTCATTAGGAGTTTTTACTTTTATGTTATAAACGCATTGCTAATTGAAAAATATTAATGTTTCAGCTTTTTGTAAAAAAGACTTTTAAATGTGACCTTGAAGAAATTCCTCCTTTCACACTTTTTCTGTTTCCACACAGGTCCTCATGCTGACACCGCCAGCGGATGCCAGAACTTGCAGTGTGGTTTTCGAGCCTGCTGCCGCTCTGGTGAATGACCCTTGACTTCTGACCTTTGTCTACTTCGTTAGCTGAGCAGGCTTCCTTTCATGCACTTTACTGACAGCACATTTCTGTGTTAACCTCCTTCTCGAGTGTGACTTGTGTTGGCCCCTTTTCTTAACAGCCTCGGAAGATCTTAATTTACCAGTGAATTGTACAGTGTTGTTTTCCTTGCAAATCATATTTTTGTTTTAGAAAGGAATTAGGCCTTTTCATAAGGGTTGAGGGTAAGAACAGTCTCATCAGATTTCTCTTAAATTGAATGCTTTGAGAGAATGTCACTAATGCCATGCCGTTTAAAGTACATTTTAGGTTATTTTGGATTTTAATGTCAGTGGGGGTTATTGGTTGTCTTTACATATAAATGCTGCACCGCTAGGTAAGACTTTCTAGGCATAGGTTGCAGAAGGGTTGCTTTCAAAGGCTGCATGTTTTGGAAACCATTCTCTTTTCCATAATGTTTCCTTTATTTGAACAATTCTCAGAGGGCCAATTCAAACATACCCACATATAAGACTCTTTAATGTTCTAGAATAAACTGGTTTCTTGGTGCTGGCTCAGTGAGCTAGCAGAGCACTAGTGGATTTGTATTTGCTTTCTTCAGAGACCCGTTTCTCACCACTGCCCCTAAATTGTCAAATTTGGGAGTGGAGGAAGGATTTTTTAAAAATTCCACAATCATTTGAAGAAATGTATGAATAAAATCTTTGAGGACTTTACCAAGTATTTTCTTTTTTTGTGTTTTGATTGTATTGTAAGTCTCAGACCAGGTTTGCATTAGTATAAAATAGAACTAAGTATTTTTGTCCTTTGAGAGCTCCAGTGAAATCATGACTCCAGTGAACCGTGAAGACAGCTTTGAGTTTAACTATCCTTGAAATTAATTGTGCCCTTATCAGAATTTGAACTTGCAAGCTGCTTATCCTTGCTGTGCAGAAAGATAGTAAGAAAGGAGACCTGCCTTTCAGGAGACACCTGCTGAGTCAGTTGCATGGCACATTACATAATTCATGTCACGCAGCAGAGAGGAGTTGCAGTATCCTTGTAAACGCAGGGAGGCTGTGCAAGTCATCTTGCTTTTTGGTTTATTTTATTGGGGGAAGAAGAGGAATAGCAGAGAGGTAACGGGTTTCAGTTTAGGCTTAGCGACAACCTTAGATTTGTCTAAAGGTGAAGGAGGATCCTTTGACAGGAATATAAATAAGGAGAAGTCACTGGGCTTTTAAATTTCACTCCAAGGAGATCAGCTCTCATGGGGGTGTATGTGATGGCTTTCCTCTGAGGGTTTTTTGCACTTCTACTCCTGTGCTGTTAACATTCACAAGATTCAGACTGGGACCCCCACAAGTTCCTTGCGCTTGGAGTAGCGGAAGCCGGGGCGGTGAAAGCAGCCGTCTTCCTCGTGGGGGTCCCTCAATGCCCCTTTGCAAGCACGGCCTCGGCCTCAGAAACAACTCTGGGTTCTCTGAGGGAACTTGTAATGAGGTCTTAGTTTCCTGCATCGCTACAAAGCTAGAGTTTTGTTTTGCAGGCTTCACTCTTTGGCAGCTTGCTGTGCTTTTATTTCCCTAAATGCGTCATAAAGTTCACCTCAACAGTGAACAGCAGGGATTATTTCCAGAACAATAGGTTTTTTGCCGTGAGTCTCTGGACTCCGTGTCCCACTTTGTACTTGCATGGGCCGCTCAGTGACTGTGTGCATTGGAAGTAACCAGGGCCCTGTGTTGCTCAAGAGGGGACTGGAGCTTGTCCCCCATGTAGTCAGACGGCAGTATATTTTTTGGGGGAAATATTTGGACTAGTACTTAGGGAAAACATGGTTATTGGTATTTCAGGGCTTGACTTAAATGGTATACTTAAATTGAGCAGCTAATTTTCCCTAGTTGTTCTAGGATCTAGGATCGAGGTGCTTCCCTTCTGGTGTATCCTAAGCTCCTTGCTATTAGCAAACCAATGACAAGGGCTTGAACCACGCTCCGACTTGCATGTGTCCGTTACACTGTCACGTGGAAACTCACTGCTTTTCTGCCTCCCGGTTGTGCGGAGAGTTAGCATAATCTGTGTTTTGATCCTTATCAATCATCACCACTGCATTATTAACTTAAGGGGATAGTTAATGTTTAGTCAAGCACTATATATATTCGGTTAAACTTACCGTGGATTTTGTGATCTCATGAATTATTGAAACTTCATTCTTAGAATAAAAGGCAGTGGGGTACATGAAATGCCCTGTGGAGTCCAACACATGCGGACACTGGGCATTGGGTGTTCTGAGTCTGCGTATTCAGCCTGGCTTCCTCATTTTAACGGTGTGAGGGAGTGGGTCATGGGGTCCTCTCTGCCTCTGCCTCTGTATGAGCAGAAACTCGCGTGCATCTGCCTGCTGGTGATTGGCAGCGCTAGGGTTTCTCTAAAGCTCGCACCGCTGAATGCTGCTCTGTTTGCATGTGGCATTGGGGTGAGACTGTGGGCCAAGGCCTCAGCCTTGAACACATGGTGTCGTGGAACCTGACGGGACGGGCAAGGGCACCAGCAAAGGGGAGACTTTGCCCTGCGCCCCTTCATCTCTGTCCTCGCTCTCGTGTTCCGGCTGTGGGGTGCTGCTCAGCCACAGGCAGTTTCCCAGTTGGCAGAGGGGAAGATGCCACTGGCATCCAGAGGGAGATTTGGCCCGAGTGTGCTGCTGTGACCGGTATCTGTGTCGAGCATGTTTTGTGTTTTGTTTTAACATTTTTATAAAAGATTCATTTATTTACGCTACAGAACTAGGGTGCAGGCCAGAGGTGTGGGGGGTGAGAAGATTCACCAGAGACAGAGTGGGGAGCAGAACAGGCAGATGGACGCAGTACACTGCTGAGGGGAGCAGCGGGCGGGTCAGGAGAGGTCTGCCGCGCCCTGGGGGTCACCTGGGGCAGGCGGAAATCAAACTCATGCAGAAGCGGCGTTAGCGTCTTAGTGCTGTGCTTTAACCTGCTGCGCCACCGGGGAGGGCAGGGCCCGTTTCGTGTCTTTAATGGCTTCGTGTATATTTCAGAGTATGTCCAAGCCTGAGTCACTGGGGCAGAGCGCCACACTGGGGGACCCTGCAGAGCTGCTTCTCTCAGTTGAAGGGGGGGTGGGAGGTACAGGATGGGGGTGCTGGCTGCCCTCCCTCTGGTCTTGCTGCTTTTAGTCTACAGAGCCACCCCATCTTCTCATCCTTTTGTGGCCTAGAGAGGAGCGAAGCCTCCTTGTCCCTTCTTAAAAGGCCGTTTAGGACAACGTTTCAATACCGTCCCCAGGCTCTGTTGCTTCGGTGGGGCTGTCTGGCATGTGCACACTTGCTCACCCTTTCGGTCTGAGGAGGGGGGTTCAGTATTAGCAATAAAAATCTCTCATTGCATAGTAGTTCCTCCTCTCTCTCCCTGGGTGTTAAAGGCGTGACCGGTGTACTGCTGGACAGGCACATAGCTCAGGCCCGGCCTCCGAGGGCGGGGAGGGGACTGTGGCCCTGGACTGGGCCAGTGAGGCAGACAAGCAGGCCACCAAAGAGAAGCGTGCGCTTGGCACATTTGGAAAGGATAATTTTATTTCATAATTTGCAAATATTTTCTCTCTTCTGATGTGATCTAGATCACATCCGTTTTCACATGATATAAAAAAAAAAAGTATACCTGAAAGTACCATGAAAAAGTCACCTGTTGCGAATGAGGGAGGCGACATAGATCCAGACAGACAGCACGTTTTTGGGGTAGGGGTGGACATACACAGCTAATGCAAATTCGACATTGGGAACGTCGATGTTATGCACTCCAGTGCTGTACACGGCTTCGATTAGAGGCTTCATTTCAGAGTAGGGCATGTGAAGGGGAAATCCAGAGAACTGAAGGGAGAAAACAAGATAGTCATTAACAAAGCTTTGGCTTTCTCTGTATTCCTTCCTTACCCAGGGGCCTGCAGTTCTCCCTCCTAGGAGTCCTCTGCGATTCCAGTCACTCGCTCCTTCCAGCACTTCCCTCTACAGACAGGTGGTCTGACCCCTGCAGTTGCTAGCACAGCGACTGGGGTCGGAGACACGGACAGGTCCCGCCCGGTGCCCTGACACCCCCACTGGCATCGTCACTCGTGGGACGCCAGGAACCCAGGGCAAGCCCCGGGGCGCACACCCCCGCCCCGGGGCACGGCCTGGCCGGACGGGCACGTGGTCAGGTGAGCGCGGGGCCGGGCGGGCCTGCCGGCTCTCGGCAGGGGCGCCCCCAGAGGAGAGGCGGTGTGGACGTGGGTACTGCCGGCAGCCGCCGGCCTGTCCCCAAGAGAACTGCGGGCGAGGGCACGCGGGCAGAGCGGGGTGCGCGGGGAGCCGCCGCCCCGCCAGACACGGCCTTTACTGCGCGCATCTCTGATCTGACTACGGCGGAGCGGAAAACGCCCTGGCTGGAAACCTGGCTGTAGACGCTAACGGGTAAGTGTCAGTCCGAGAAACGCCCTCCCGGCTCCTGCCCGCTGGGCCCACGCCGCGGCGAAGGTGTGCGGTGCGATGCGCCGCCCCGGGCGGGGCGGGTCCCGGTTCACGGCCACGCGAGCGTTTCCCTCAGCCTGGACAGCAGCCAGTGTAAAGCCGTAGCCGCCGGGCAGACTCACTGGAGACTGCCCTGCTCGGGCTGTCGAGCCCAGCTTCAGCGGCGCGAGCGTTCGGAACGTGGCCTGTGAAGGGCCCTTTCCTCACCCGAGGGGGCGTTCATTTTACAGCCCCGGTTTGCCCTTCACTGCTAGGTCAGCCAGCGAGGCCCCAGCTGCCCAGCACACTGACGCTCGCCCGTGCCCGCTCGCTCACCCTGTAGTCTCCCAGCTGCCGGAGCAGCTCGGCGCGGTGGTCGTCCTCCACCTCCTCCCCCTGGCTCCGCTCCAGCAGGGGCAGGAAGTGGCGCAGGGCGGAGGTGCAGTGCCTGTTCCAGCGGGTCAGGTGGCGCGGCCGCCAGGCCATGATTTTGTCTTTCAGCGCTTTTTCAATTCTGTTCAGAAAAAAACAAAGCCCGGTTTTGGTGGCCAGGGCCGAGCGTGGCGGGGGTGGGGAGCGGGGCGGCGGCACAGAGGTGCCCGGGACGCGCCCTGCGTAGGTCCTCAGTCGCCAGGGGCGGGCTGGGCGCGAGAGGCCCAGCAAGAGACCCTTACCCTCGCGAGCTGTGGCGTCACTTTGTTCCGGTGACACGAGGGCTGGGGGCTCGTGCTGAAAGCTGTGTGCAGGGCTCTGTGATTGTCGCATGCTTATCCGGCCCCCCCGTGACTCCTACTGGCGGGGATCGCTTTCCCGAGCGGCCTTACACCTCCCTTAGGTAGCCATCATTGCCACTTCATTTTTGATACTGCGCTGTGAAGTCAGCGTAGCAGGCCCTGCAGTCGGGAGACTTAGGCAAGCTGAAGGAGCTGCGCTACCCTCGGTGGGACCCTGGCTTCCAGGGGCTGTGCTAACTGCTGCTTACACATGTTTATTTAATTTGAACTGTAATCCTGTGAGGTGAGGCATCGTTCACACTTAGTTTTGAAGGGACAGTTTGAGCACTGGGAAGCGGGGATTGGAACAGAAACTGCTTCAGTTCCAAAGGCTGAGCACCTCCCTCCACAAGTGCACAGATTTGGGACGCAGCCCGCCCCCCGCTGCCGGTTGGGACCTGCTGTAGGCGTGGAACACCCACTCGCGTTTGGAGTTGCAGGGTGGTCTGAATAAGAAAGAGGATGCACTGCCTCGCACTTTGTCGTGCAGGAGAAATAAGTGCCCTGAGTGTAGGCGTTAGTATCCTGACGCCAGTATTAGAAGAAACAAAAGATTGGGAGAGGGACTTGCTCTCGGCTTGTTGCTCAGACAAGACGGGCATTTTCTGGTAATGCCGCCTGCGAAGGAGTCCCGGCTAGCCCCGGCAGGCCAGCCTGCCCTTCCCACAGCTTGTTACAGTAGCAGGGGGGCACAGGCACCGGCTAGAGTCAGAGAGCGCCCCCAACGCTGAGTGAGTGCGTGGCCCCTCGAGCGTCACCCCCCCACAGCGGCAGATGCGGCTGCTCAGGTGCTGGGAAGCCCGGCTCTGCAGTGACGGGCGCGCAGCCTCCTCGGTGGATCAGGTTTTTAAACGAACCGAGGCTCTTTAAGCCACTCATTGGACAAGAGAAGTGCATTTAAGCCGAGGATTATATGTCTGAACAAGACTCGCAAGAACACGCCGTCGGGCCCTAATCCCGGGCGACGCTTTCGGGGCGCTGCCTGCGCGCGCCCCGCTGCCGCCAAAGCCTCTCCCGGGGCCGTGGGGTTTGGAGATCTCGTCCGTCATCTGTACCCGGGACCTACAAACACACGTTCAAGCGTGTTGGCGCAGGCTCAGAACTGCCTGGCCTGGCGTGCGCTCCCGGGGAGAACGCGGCGGGCTGCGGCCTCAGTCACCTGTCCTGCAGCTCGGCGGCGGCCTCCCTGTCCGCGCGCTGGTAAGCGAGTTCTTCTGGCTGTAAGAGAGGAAGCAGCTCGGTGATGCTTGGTTGCGGGGGCGCAGCTTGAGTAAATGTGCATCCCCTTCTAGGTATTTTTTGGGATTACACAATTTCAGGCCAAAGTCCTCAGGACCCTTTCATTAAGACCTCACAGGTGCGGGGATGTGCCGTTCCTTCTGCATTTCACTCCCGACTCGGGGTCTTTCAGCCCGCTCACGCCACACTCCCCGGTGGCCCTCGGCGGAGCCCCCACCGCGCCTCCCCCGACTTTGACTTGTGGTCTTTTCCGTAACTGTAGTTTGGGGACTACAGCCTGGCACCTTCCGAGACACACGCACTTCAGTCGCCCTCCGCCACAGCCCCCGGCAGCCGGGCTCATAGAAAGGTGCGTTTGTGGCTCACTACAAATATGTCTTCCCCAGCAGTGCGCAGACGCTTCCTGAGCCTGTGATTAGAGAATGCCCTTCCTTACGCCCCACAATCTCTGCTGTTCCCGTTCCTGGGCGGCCGCCTGCAAACAGGATGCAAATCGCTCGCGCGTGTCACTGTATGCGTGGGAGGTTTTCTCCAGGACAGGGTCTTAAAAAAATTTTTTTTTGAAAGGTTTGTCCACAGTAAGAAATACCTTTTATGCGGCACACCAGTATGCACACACACACACCTAGCCACCAAATGGAAAGTCGTCGTGAATAATTCTCATACAAACGAGGCTGGCCAGGACCCCTAGATTAATTTTATGAGCACCCCAGAGGGTCCAGCCCGCAGTCTGAGCTCAGGCTTCAGTAGCAGCCATGGGCCTCATTTATGAATTGGGGCCAGAACTAAAAAAAAATCAAATAGAAGTTGTGATAGATTCCTAATAGATTTTTTTTTATGTATATTGATCATGGTGTTGATGGCTTAGATCGTACAGATATATTTCTGTTGTGAGTCTCCTATTGAGACTGTTTTGGAGCAGAATCCAGGGTCAGAAAATTGACTACTAGCTTAATGACTTCACACTCTCAATCTCTTTGTCTACACCTAACTGTTAATAAAATAAGGTAATACCTGAACACTGGAAAGGCCTGGATATGGAAGGTTTCTTGAAAAGAAGGGTTTCCAGAACTTGGGCTTGGCGACGTCAAAACTTATCCTTAGTGGGGAATCGTATCGTTGGATGTTAAACCAAATCTGAAAAAGACAAGAGCTCACCACTAGCCAGCGGAAGCCGGGGTTTAGGCCCAGACACTGACCCTGTAACTCATGGTTTGCACCACGGCCGGTACCCGTCAAAACCGGTGACCCAGAACTGGTGCAGCCAGAACCCCCGGCGCACCTGGGAGTCCCAAAAACGCAGACGTCAGCCTGCCCAGGTGCTGACCTCTGTGCCCCACAGGCTCCCGGCACTGAGCACGAGGCTTTAAGCCACCGTAGCGCGTCCCTCTGACTCACCCCTCTTCTCTGTAGGGTCGGGGACCAGTGCGCCTGAAAGTTCTATCGAGCTCAGTTCCGCCACTGCGCTCGGCACCTCCCTCTTCAGTACATACGACCATGTACATGTGTAAATGCATTTGTTAATGCATAAAACACTATTTCAGTCAGTAGGCCAAAGGGAAAAAGAAAACTGACCATACTTCAGAAGAAATGATAACACTTACGTTATCGGGGCCAATTAAACAGCCCACACTTTTTAAGGGACAGAAGGTGTCATACTGTCCATAACAGTGGCCGCTGCAGGGATTCCATATCAGGTAATGGCCTTGCTCTCGAGTCACCACATAGGCGGTTGGACCCTAAAGGAAAGAGCCATCAAAACATTTTCCAGCCAGTCGTGCCGGTTAAGAGTCGCTGGCACCGAGGAGTCATCATAAGTCAATTCTAAAATCCATGGCTAGTGTCGAAATGAGTTTGATGTTCTAGGTTGCACGTGATGTGAAAATAAAATGGTCGTTGCAAAATCCTGCAGAGGGGGCGAAGTGGGCACATCCCTGACCGCGCACTCGGGACTGGCTGAGCAGCCCTCCAGAAGTATTCTTTCTTGAGAGTCGGTACACTGGGCGTTGGGTACTTGGGGGCCGGTCGAGGCGGAGTACTGTCTGCCGGAGGCGGCAGCTGACACCACCCCGCCTCGGTCACCTTGCAGTTGCGGCAACGGCCTGAGATTTCAACACACCGTCAACAAGTCTCGGGAAGGGCCGGGGCGGCTGGAGCCTGAAGAGGGACTTGACCTTTTGGTTGGCATCCTAGACGTGATTGGATCCTTTTTTTTTTAAAGTGAGCATTTGTTCGTTTATCGTCACAAATGATTTCATTCGATGCTCACAATAGCTGTTTGGGGAAGGTGGAGCAAGAACCACGACCCCCAGTTCCTCACGCGGCCCAGCGCGCTGACTGCTGAGCCACACAGCCCACTGCCGAGCAGCTCTGCCCTCCGGCCTCGGGCCCTCCACGCGCCGGCGGGTTGGGAGGGGTCAGGATGCAGGCGTGACCCTACCTGCCCAGCTCACCTGCCCAGGCTCCCTGGGGCCTCGGGGCTCCCTCCCGAGGTGCAGATTTCTGCCCCTGTGGGTAGGCTGCCTTACCCATGTGAAGCTTTTATGTCCCAAATGACCCAACATGCCTCCAACTTAGGGACGTGGGCAGTGGGCTGGGAAACAGACTTCAGCAGCCCCCGCGTCCCGGGCCTCCCAGTGCAGGGATGCGCTCCACCCGCAGCAGCTCAGAGCGTCGCCCGGGGCTGCGAGCTCTGCCTGCAGCGACGGGGTCGGCGGGCGTGCTTCCGGGACCCCCATCACGCCTTAGGCTGACCACAGAAGGGGGCGTCTGAGGCCATGGGCAGGAGGAGACAGAGCCAGGCCGGGGCTGGGGACTGCAAAGAGCTCAGATTGGCCCCAAAACCTGAAGCCTCTGCAGCGCCTGGCTACCGCTCAGAACCGCTTCCTGGCCTGTCTCCGTGGTTGTCGCTGCCTATCCTTGGTGCTCGGGGGGTCGTTAGGGACCTAAGTCCTGCCCTGGCCACACGGCGGGCCGGCCCGCCCAGCCCCGCCGACCGCCCAGGGCCTTACCTCGGGAATCGCACTGCCCATGGCCAGCCAGGCCTTTTTGCCCAGGGAGAGAAAGTAATTACACAGTAGCACCGCGTGCTCCTCTTCATCTCCCGCCAGGAGATCCAGAAATTGCTGCCAGAAAGAAAAAGAGGCACACGTTCACGCCTCGGCCACTCCAACCAGGCCCGGGGATGGCCCACGCTGTTGTGTCTTCTGGTCGCCCCGGGTGGTGTCATTTCGTCTCTAAGACAGCAGGGATCAGGCCAAAATATATCGGGGAACAGGCACTTTAGAAGTGAACCTCAGACTGCTCCGCTCGGGCTGGCTACCCTTCACAAGGAAGGGCGTGTAACCAACCGCCCCGTTTCTGCAACAGCTCGACGTGAGGCCAGGGCAGACGACACCCGGCTTGTGCCCTGTGTCGGGGAGGCCGGGGCTGCCCAGCTGGACTGAGGCCCGGGAGGCAGCGCCAGACCCTCCCCTGCCCGCCTCTAGGTGGGCACGGAGACAGCCCCACAGGGGAGCCCGGCCAGGGGCGTGGGCTGGGCGTGGCGTGGCGCTACGAGACCGACTCGGTGAGAAAGGCTGGGGTGTCGCTAAGGTAGCCCTGAGACATCCCAAGTGTCTGGTTTTTGCTCTTCTTACTCTTTGTGCAAATTAGTAACTTTCTGCAAACCGCACTTTGGGAAAACCGCCTCAGGAAGAGACCTAAGTCAGACTTCGGCCATCCTGCCAGGCGGACAGCCACGTAGGTTCCCGCACTGACCCGGGGCGGGGGCCGGCCGGAGGGGGACGACTTACGTCAGACGTGCTCCACAGGTCACAGACCCCGGCGAAGGAAACGGCGTCCGGCAGGAAAGGGATCAGGGACACGTAGCGAGCCAGCAGCTCCTGGGACACGAGGAGCTTCAAAAACCATCGACAGAGGAAAGCGGAACCGGGTAGGCCACGCGCTGTCCTGCGAGCGAACCCACAGCCCCCGCGCCCCTGGGGGCACGCCAGCTGCCCCGTCCCCGCACCCCATCCAGTCTGGGCGCTCAGAGCGTCCGCCGAAAGGAGGAACTAAGGGTTTTCATTCTCCTCCTAGGGGAAAAAGCCTCGTGGTTTAAAAGAGTTGCGACCTGGGTCTCGTCACCCCGATCTGGCTGCAGTTTCGCTCCTGGGGCCCGCACCACGGCCTCCTCGGGGGACTCACCGCCGTGGCCTGTGGGTCGCTGGGGTGGGCGGCCAGGAGCTCCTGGGGCGGGTTCAGAGGCTTGAGGTAGCGAGTAACAAAGACCGTTTCCCCGCTGATGTCAATCACGGTGGTCAGGCACTGGCGGCTTGGAAACTTCAAAGCACATTCAGCTTGAAAGTTCTCTGCTGCTTGAAGCAATTTCTCATCTTCCTGAGAATCAAACTTTGAAAAGAAAAGAGACGGAGACGTTTACACGGGGTGGTCAGAGACACGGCAGGACCCCTCGGCCCCCCCGGTCGACAGGAGCTGAGGGACCTGCCGGGGTGACTGAGGGGGTCTCAGTAAACAGCGCTGCCTGACTGGCCTGCCCACAGCTCCAGTGAATGGTCCTTATAATAACCCCCAGATTACACAGGTTCATTAAAGACTTGGCATATCCTGCATGGGAGTGGGGGAAAGGCAAGCAGCCATGTGGAAAGCGCTGGCTGAGTAAGCTGGGGTGTGTCACCCGGGTGGATGAAACCAAGAGCGGGAGCCTTACGAACATTTTGTTGCTGGTGTTAGAGGGGAGAGGGGCCCGGTAAACTCAGACGTCAAGCGCAAAGCTTCAGCAACTCCTGCCAAAGTCCACTGTGTTACAGATGCGCACGGATCTGCTGAAAGGTTTCAAACCCCTAATCAGTGTCACATGTGATGCAATGGATCTCAGGAGGAAGGCGGCAGAACCGGAAAGGCCAAGTGCATCATAGCTATTCCGAGTGGTTCTCTGACCCGAGAGGAGCCAGCCGTCCCCAGGGCTGTTTTTCTCGTCTCACTGAGATGATTGAGACATGACACAGTTACACAGGCATCGTGACTCGGTCTGTGTGTATACTGTGAAGTGATTCCGACCGTACGCTGAGTAAAATGGGTCCCCTCGCCCAGTCACCACTGTGTTTTTCCCTTGGGATGAGAAATCTGCTCTGTCAGTCATCTGTGAATATACAGGACTGTCCACTGCGGTCGCCTTGTTGAACGTCAGGTCCCGGGAAGTTACCCACCTGAAGTTGGTCTGTCCCTCAGAGTTTTAAAAAAGTGTCTTGAGGTAGATGAGGCAAAACAAAATTTGTCCTTTGGACAGGTTATCACTGCCTGCTCTCCAGCCATTGCAAAGGAAATGGCAGAAAAACATTTTTATAAAACTTTTGTGGTTACAGGATAAAAATGTACAACATGAAATGGAAAGATCCTTAACTGGCTCAATTCTTTATCCTCTGAGTGAATGTCAACATTTCATTTAAGAAAATTAGCTTTTAGCCCACGGGGATTACAACTGAGATGGAAAGAGACACAAAATGATGTAAAAACAAACTATTATATTGAAAAAAATTACTGCTTAAGTAGAATTAGATTCTGGGTAGTTCTCGAAATATTTCTTTTTTTTTTCTTTTTTTTTTTTGAGGAAGGAAATGAATCCAGTGACTCTTTGTGTTTGTTTAGTCTGTCTCCCCGTGGAGCTAGATTCCTGAAGTCAGGGTTTTGTTTCGATCTCGGTTTTTTAATTCCCAACACCAAGAGTCCTGCCCCACACAGAGTAAATGACTGAGAACACGGCTGAGTAAATGAATGAGCAAGCAGAAAGCCTGCTACTATCTTGCCGGACTTTGGAGAGGATCTGGAATGTCCTGAGAGTCCTTGACTCTCCACAGTGGAACCAGACTGCTGCTCTTTTTAATTTGATGGCTGCACCCGAGGAAATCAGGGAGGCCCTTGTGGGCAGGGAGGGTGGAGCATCTCCCAGAGCCTCGTGTATTCTCACGGGGCGTCCCCGCAGCTGGGTCTTTGCATCATCACCCAGTGTCCACACCCACCAGCTGGAAAGACTGGCGCCAAGTGGCGGGTCTGGAGATTCCTCCCAGAGCTCTTTAAACGCCAGTGTCGTGCCCTGAAGAGAGCGGACGGGACCTGGGGTCCCCCCTCTCACCTTCTGCCCCCCCCATGCCCCCTCCATGCAGGGTCCTCTGGGCTCTCTCTGGAGCCGGAGAGCCACGCCAGGGGTGTGAGATAGATTTGGGGGCGGACCTCTGCGGCGACACAGGGTGGACACAGGACATCCGTGCGGACAAAGAGCCAGCTGCTTTTCTAGCAGCAGATTTCGCATTCTTCCCTTTGAGAAAAAGCAAAGCCTGCTGCTGTTTGTCTTGCCCTGCCTGGAAGCTCAGGCTGCTGCCTCCTCGCCCCTGGCTCCGAGCAGGACAAACCCACACACCGTCTCACGTGGCCGGCAGCGGCCCCCGCCCCTCCTGCTGGGACCCAGCGGCTCCTTGCCAGAGAAGGGGTCCCGTTACCTTTTCTCGCACCGGCTCCCCAGGAACCAGCTGAGGCTCCATGGTGATGAAGAGGGTGAGGTAGGAGCCGTCACTCAGGCTTCGGACGTGTTCGAAACCCCGCTCCATAATGGCGGCCCGCTCCTTGCTGTAGCCCAGGAGAACTGGGGGGATGTCAATTTTAAACGTTCCATCAATCTGTGAAGAAAATGCCACTCAGTAAACAGCCGGGTGGTGGTCCAGCAGCAGTCCAGCTCCTGGCAGCCTTCAATAAAAGCTGCTCAGACAGGCGCTCGGGGCCCCCAGCCCACGGGGAGCCCTCCCTGTCCCCCCCAAACTCAGCATTCACGTGCAAAAGTAGTCCAGGCCCCTGGAACGCCATGGCCCAGTAGCCATGAACTAGCTTTGCACGTGAACGCTGAGTTTGTCCACCCCTGGATCTCAGCGTCAGTAAACTGGAGATTTAATGAGCAATGTGTTAGTCTGGCGCTAACAGGCGTTGGGTATGCACCGGCTGTAGGCCTGGGTTCACCCCGGGTCCGGCTCCAAGTGCCATCTTAAAAAAGGAGACACCGACCATCTTTAGAAAGGGACAGTTGGGGCCCTCCCTGGTGGCACCACGGGTTAAAGCGCAGCACTAGGAAGCTGGCTGTGGCCACTGCAGCACGAGTTCGATCCCCGGCCAGGGAGGTGACCCACGTGGCACGGCAGACCTCTCCTGAGCCGCCCGCTGCTCCCCTTCATCCATCTGCCTGTTCTGCTCCCCACTCTGTCTCTGGTGGATCCTCTCACTCCCCACACTGCTGTCGTGTACCCCAGCTCTCAGAAGCATAAATAAATCAATCTTGAAAAGAAGGAGACAGTGATGTACCTGCCAAGGGGTACAAGCCCCGAGGGCAGGAGCCGTGCGGCAGACACGCACGGCAGGAGCGAGCTGGTGTCCGTGCGGAAATGAGCCCCCCCCCCCCAGTTCAGAACGTTCTCCAAGGTTCAGGTCAGGCAGGCGGCCTCTCCATAGTCTCCCTTACACGACACCATCGCCGGCCTTGCTATCACAGGGCCTCGGGGGGGGCTCTCTGAAGTGGGGTCTGGGCCTCACACCCCTTTGCATCCCCAGCGTGGATGTCTAGCGGTGCACTGTACACACAGCAGGTGCTTGGTAAAGGGCAGCCGGGCGGAGGGTGAGGGGCTCTGTTAAGTGGCCTAAGTTAGCCACAAGTTCAGAAAGGCTGAGGGTTTCGGGCCGGCGCTGTGGAAGCAGCCGGAGTCGCGAAAGCCCAGCAGGCTACAGCCCCGTGCCGTGACTGCACCCTTTACAGGCAGCCACGACCGCCCCCTTCTCCTTCACGTCTACTGAAACGACTGGAGAGTTCTCAGATGGGAACGGTCCCACGTCAGCTGCCCGGTCTGAGGAAGCACGCTGTCAATTAGTCGCGGACAGGACAGGTCGGTGGCTTCCGTCCTTCCGAGGCGGCTGGGCGGAGGGCCGTCAGCACCGGGCGGAAGCCCACAAAGGAAGCTTCACGGGAGAAAGGAGGGCCCTTCCCGCCCTGCGGGATTCTGCAGTTAGGGTGCTCACCCTGGCTTGGAAGTAGATGGTGCTGAACGGGATTTTCACGCATCCCAGCCAGTGCCTCTCGATGCGGCTGTGGATTCTGCTGCTGCGCTCACGGTCGTCCTAAGGAGGGTGAGAAGGAGTCACTGGGCATGGACTCGGGCCCCGTCCGGGATTCAGAGGCGGGAGAGCACAAGGCTGTTCGCTGCAAGCATGCAGGCGTAGCTGACAGACCTACGTTATATTCTGGTGACAGTTCTGAACCCAGGAAGGCCACTGAACCCCTGAGCCTCAGTTTCCTCGTTAGTAAATGGGAGATTTAATGAGCACAGAGTTAGCTAGAGCCAACAAGGCTATGTGCGAAGAGCAGGCCCATGGCTAGAAATTTTTAAAAAAGTGCGTTCTCGAGGCCTCCCTGGTGGAGCAGGGGTTAAGGGCACGGTGCTACGCCAGCCTCTGCAGCACGGGTTCGATCCCCGGCCGGGCAGTGACCACATGGCTGGCAGACCCCTCAGCAGTGTGTTTCAGTAGCTCTGCCTGTTCTGCTCCCCACTCTGTCTCTGGGGAGTCCTCACACCCCCACCCTGCACCCCTGGCCTGCACCCCAGCTCTTGTATGCACAAATAAATCTTGAAAAAAAAAGAAAGCGCGCGTTCTCTTCCTCCCGCCCCCACTCACACCTGCTGTCTCGAGCATCCCAAGCTGGAAGGACAGTGCGTTTGGGAAGAACACCATGGCGGGGAGGCCTGGCCCCAAGTGCAGACCCCGAACGGCGGCTGCTCACCTCTAAGACCTCGTACAGCACCTCATCAAAAATGTTGATGAACACGTCGTCTTTCACCGACTGCAGGCTGGTGCTGCTGTAGTCCCCGTTGGGAGCCCTGGCGTGGGCCCAGCAGGGAAGGGGGCAAGACGGAGCCCGTGAGCAGGCGAGGTGCCCTGGAGCCACGCCCCACCTCCCAGGACATGGGGCAGAGCCACGCCCCCCCGGGGTGCCTGGGGGGGGCCGAGCGCTGCCCTGGAGGCACCGAGGCCAGAGAGGCAGAACCTCGTGCTCACGGACACTCACCCCCCGGCCCAGCCCCTGGGAGCTTTGCAGGTGGCTGGAGGAGCTGCCTGGGTGGCCAGGCCTCAGCAGGCTCTGTGTGCGCAGGAGCGCTGCTGAAGAGCTGGCCCTGGTCGGGGCATGGGGCCGCCTGAGTGGCCCCGGATCCCCCTCCACACCCCGTCCATCGGTCGGCCGCGAGGGGCTGGTGTCCGCTCCCGGGACACCCCCACGGCTGGGCCAGGTGCCAGCAGGCCACGCTGCAGATCCCGGGGCACCGTGCCCGGGTCTCCTGCCTTACCGGTGACGGCGCCTCACTGGCCTAGCTCATTCTGAGTCCCAGCGCCACGTGGGGGCTGCCCCTCGCTCCTGACCTAACCAGTCCTGGCTGTGTCCCCGATTCCGCAGGGCTCAGCGAGCCTCCCCTGTCACTGGGTTCCCGCGCCTCTGTACCACAGCAGAGCGCTGGGCGGGAGGCTAAGATCCTAAGGCTGCTTCAGGATCTGGAGCCATGTCCTTTGGACTTTCAGCGAAAAGCATGGTGCTGCCCCTGGGGCTCAGAGCCCCACCCATGGGGCTGAGCACCCCCTCGGCCAGGTGAGATGCCAAAGGCCTGCGCGTTTCTGGTGAAGGTTAAGCGGCACTGAGGGGAACATGCAAAGCTTCCAGAGTTGGGGTGATGAGTGAGGACGGGGAACAGCCGGGGAGGTGGGGATAGGGTCTGGGCTCCAAGAAGCCAGGGCCCGCAGGTAAGTGGGGTGTTTCACAAGCCGGGCGCTCTCCCCACTCACTCTTGACGGGCATCCGCTGGGGCACAAGGAACAAAACCTGGGGTGTGGGGCGCGGGCTCCCCGGCTGCAGAGACGTCCACCTCCCCCAGCCCGCGTTTCCTCCCGCCCCCTCGGCATACCCTGGGGTTCTCACGAGGAACACCTCCTTACCTGAACGGGAGCTCCAGTTCTTCGTTCCAGCTGGGGTTGGGCCCTTCCGCTGTGGTTGTGTGGCAGATGGTCCGTTGAAAAGAAACTTCCACAAAAGGGCGTACTAAAACCTTAAAACCAGAGCAGATTCTCAGTCCACAACCTTGCGCCGAGTCGTGGTGCTCGGCGGAGCTGGAAAAGCTTTGCTAACAGCGTGTCTCAAAGACGGCAAAGCACAAGACACACCAGGACGTTTCCAGGCGACTCTCAAAGACCCGCAGGCTGGGTCTGGGCTGAGGGTGGGCGCTGGCATCTCACCTGGCCGAGGGGGTGCTCAGCCCCATGGGTGGGGCTCTGAGCCCCAGGGGCAGCACCATGCTTTTCGCTGAAAGTCCTTGCAGACCTGGAAGACTGCTGGAATTTGCTGAGAGGAGACATGAACGAAAGAAACCGAGCTCAGGGAAAGCCTATTGGGGGTCAAGCAGGGGGTGGCGCCCCAGGAATTGTGGGCCACTGCTGACTATGGCTCTGGACAGACACCGGGCGCTCGACACCCCAAGGCTTTCTGTGGCTCCGGGTCACAGTGATTACCAGGGTCCCCCACTTTCTATCCCCAGGCCTGCAGGTCTGAGAACAACGCAGAGACCCCTCGCCTCCCCTCCTGTCCCAGGGCCTGCCCGAGTGGGGACCTGTGCCTCCTGGCCCCCCAGCGACACCCTGTTCTCTCAGGTAGCGGAATCTGGGGCTTTGGACCTGCAGGGCCTGCCTCCACCCAATTCCGGTTTCCTCCCAGTGCCTCTCGGAAAAGCTCTCTGCTTGTTAGGGCCATTTCCATAAAAAGGGGAGGCGCCATGTCTCCCAGCCTGCTTCCCTGAGGGTGGAGCTGAGCGGCCTGGCCAGGTGAGGCTGTGGAACTCGCCAGGCAGTGGGCTCAAGGGCAGACACGTGGAGAAGCCCCCCCTCCCCATGCTTCTGGGCTTTGGGAGGGGAGTTATCACATGGACAGGTGCAGGTGCAGGCAGGGAAGCCAGGGGGAGCCTTTGCGGTGCGTCTGCGGGGTGGCATGGCCTGACCCCCCGTCCTGGGGCCCGTGAGGTGTCCGAGGTACCCTGAGAACCCCACTTGGCCTAACCGGGCTAAGCTGCTTCTGCTACTTGCAACCAATGAGGTGCTGATGTCAGCAAGACCCCACCCCCCACCCCACTCCACCAAGCCCCAGGCACCGGGACAACCATGTTAAAAACAAGCGTGAACACGTGTGTGGGGGACCCCCGGCGGGGACGCCCGGGGCCTGGAGGCCTCACCTGGCCGGCGGCTTCCTCACGGGGATGTCGTAAGCCCGGACGATGTTCACCAGCAGCTTCAAGTCCCCGTCGGCCAGGTTCTGGGCTGTCACCTTCTTCCGACCTTTCCTCCTTGGCTTCAGCGGCCGCTTCTGTTCCGCCAGCTTGAAAAGGTTTAGGCCTAAAATGCTAGCGAGGACAGAGGAGATTAGGACCCCGCAGAAATGAAAGGTCTCAAAGGTGGGGAGATGCCTCCCACGGCCCCAGGCTCTCTCCCTGTCTCTGCCATCTGTCCTGTGAGGGATGGGGGCCTGGTCCAGGCAGTCTCCCCAGATGGAGGGTCACTACTGCCCCCTTGGGGAGGCAGAGCAGGCTGGGGTGCCCCAGCCCTCACATTCACCCCCCTTTCGGCTCCTGCCAGTAGCTGAAGGTGGGCTGCCTCGAGCATTGCACCTGCCCGTCAGGCCACCACCTCCCCCTCCCCAGAGGACCGGGAGGGGGCGCTCCTGTCCTGGGCCCCCAGCACTCGTTAGCCATTCCTGCATGGGGTGGTCTGGGGGTCCCCACTCCACAGCTACACAAAACTGGCCCTGGCTCTGTGCTTTCACCATGGACAAGTAATTTCGCCTGAGTGACCCATGGCCTGTGCGATGGGGAGCACAATGGGCTGTTGAAGGGAATAGTGGGGGACCTTCAAGCCCCCTCTCCCTCGCGCTGGTCTGCACGTCACGTAACTGCTGGATGATGCCGGCGACTGGCTGGAGGAGGAGGAGGAGGGTGGGGGCGACAGGAAGGGGAGCAGGCGGGGAGCCCCTCGCAGGGATGACGTCTGCAAACACCGCCTGTCATTCATGTGGGAGTGACCGGCAGCGAGGGCGGCAGCGAGCCCGCGGCCTCCTGCTCCACCGGCTGCCAGAGCGGCCTGCTGGCACGTGACGCCCGGCCTGGGCCCGCCGGGGCAGAGGGAGAGTGTCTGGCGTCTCATCGTTCTCATCCCGATGAGTGAATGGTCGCCCTGGTTTTTATATGAAGAAATGGGGGCTCCAGAGATTGACTCCAGCCTCTTGGAAGGAGGAGATGAGGTGCGGCCTCCAGTGACTGCGATTTTAGTCTGCTTCTATTTCTTTCTTT